GATTACATGGTCAAACATGTATTTATGGAGTCAAAAGATGGAGTGCAGTGGCATTTTGGTTCAAAATATGGTTTAAGAGTAGAAATTCTTTCACAAAATCATGAAAATATTTGTTATTTTCTTCAAGAAATAAATATTAGGGTGCGTTTGTTGTACCAGATTATTTCAGACTGGATTAGTTTAAGGGACTAAGTCGGATTGGCTTGGCATGAATTAAGTAGTACTAGAATTATGAAGTGTTTGGTACAGTGCCGGATTAGTTAAGACTAATATTTTTTTTTAATTATGAAAACGTCTACTTTCTTGTCTAAAAAACTAAAATGCACTCTATAAGTAAAAATTGTAATGGGAAATCCTTTCTTTTTCAGAATTTATAAATGTGAAAGACAAAAAAAAATTGAAAAAGAGAAAACATATAGTTATTTGTAAACCTAGACAAACAACCGTCCTCACATCTACTTTCCTCACCGCCACTCCAACTGCACAAACCCAATCCAGTCAATTTTTCTCTATATCTTTCTCTCTCTCTCCAGATAGCACCTCATTAAGTTGGATTTTCTTGTAAAATTTCTGTTTTCTTTCATTACTGCAATTCAATTTCTTCAATTTGTATGAACATCTGCGCCCTTCCCATCTTTGAACGACGACTCGAAAATCCCCACCCAGAAATCAATCGATGACCAAAGACCAAACCCAGGCAAGAAGGACAAAAGGGAGAAGGAGAGAGAAATGGGTAATAGGCACCCTTAAATTACACCCATGTTGAAATTTGGGAGGGAAATAGGTAATAGGCATGGCCTGATTTAGAGGTTTCAAGATTTTGTATGTGTGTACATCATCCAATAGTTCACAAAATATAATAACCAATAATTTGTGAAGATATCAAGAAACTTATGGTGTATTTGTGGGTTCCAATCAAATATGATTACTAGCCCTTTTCTTTTTCTTTTTCTTTTTCTCTTTTGGAAATATATTTTTTGCATAATTTATATGGCCAAGCGATTCGTGACTTATCGTCACACATTTCAAATAATATATAAAGATATTAATTTGCTTATTAAGATTTGATTCATATACACCAAAAGTACCTCTTCTTCAAAATTTTCTATGAATTAACAACTACTAGGAACTAAATAGTGCACATGTTAGTTTCCAAGAATATCGAGTCATCTTGTTAGACTTACTTGAGCATTGAGCTTTGTTGTAACAACAAAACGTATTTGCACAATCTCTTCACACACTTGCAAATAAAGTTTGAAAGATAACGTTACTACAATATGCCTTCAAACGTTAAAACTTTCCATAAGACCAGAACTCACTAATTTTTTTTCAAACAAAATATTTGTACTTTTTTCTTTTTGGGATTGAACAAGTTATATATAGGTTAGGCTTGTGCTCCTCGGAGACATATATGTTTGCTCAATTTAAAAGTTCGGATATCGATCAACATACTTCTACCATACGTTTTACAAGCAACTACCCTAATCCAATTCCTATTTATTGATGCAACCTTTTTTTTAATGTATCATGGTATGTTTTGTCCTTGCCTTCTTGGATGAGGACTTTGGGTGGGTTGTAATGTGACGAAACTGACCAAATGAAGAAGAAAATCTTCACATAAGTGGCTTTTGCAATCATAGATATCATCACCTTAGCGAAGCATTGAGGCAACCTTTGTCACCTAGTGGCTTGTGCAATCATAATATATATGGGATGAGAAATGATAAGGAGATTCTCTTAAAAGTGGGACTCTTCAGTCTTCATTAACTCTCTGTTACCTCGTGTTTTTGGTACAATGTTTAATACAGTTGGCACGGAAATTAACGTTAAACTGTAAGGTGCCAAAGAGTCCGTAAAAAATCCCATTTTAAAAGTCTCCTTAACATTTCTCTCATGAGTTTGCACACTTGGAAGTTGAAGCTCAAACTTTCTTTTTGGCAGCAAAGAAAGAATGAAATAATTTGCACATTATCCCTTTTACTTGATTTGAAATTGACTTTTTCTTTTAGGATCCTAGTACAATGGTTAGGAATATTAGGCTAATCTAACATGGTCCATGCCTCTACCTTTTCAATGTGGCAGGCAGAGAAGCCTTTGTGCACCACACTTCTTGTCAGGCTTTAGCATTTTTCTTGTTCATCTAGCTTCTTCAAGATAAAAAGGAGAGAGTGGGGTTGCAATCCATTAAAACCACAGCAATAAGAACAACTACCACGTTCTTAGTGATAAACTCCAAACCCTATAAACAACCACTTTGTAAAGAAGATTTGACTAAACATTCTGATATGGGACCCATTTTTCATAGTGTTCGTCACATATTTTGTGTAAAATCTAATGCAAAGTTTTCAGAAATCATTCAATCTGTTCATGATTACATGATGAAGAAAGATGAAGTCATGGTGTACTTTGTGAGAAAAAAGAGTGAAAGGTTGGAGAGTACCATTTTGGGAGAGATTCACTAATCTCGGTTACGATATTAATTATTCCCTTAATTAACATTAAACATCGACTTAACCTTATTCCTAATAAATACACTACTTAAACCATACAACATTTTGCAAAACAAAGTAGCAGCTGTCAAGTTGTTCTTTTGCCATGTGTCAAGCCATTGTTATTGACTCGTGTTTATGCAAAGGCTCCTTTCTGTGCGTGTGCTGCATGCATGTCCTTGGAGTATTTTGTATTGGGTTGGATCAAAAATTTAGAACACCTCAAGGTGTTACATGATGAATTAAACTCATATTTGTGCTGCCCTAATTAGGGAACAGTTAGGGCCAAGGATTTTGAAGTCCCAAGAGTTAGAGGTCAAGAAGAAATGGATCATAAAATATTCATAAAAGAGATTAGAAATTTTTTTACATGAGCGTTACAAAGGCACATAGAAGGAATTTCATTTGTAGATGACACCCTTGAAATAGACATACGCAAGTTCCTTTACATGTCTTTGTAGTGCGTATACGGGGATTTTTAATTCTTCAAATATTTATGATCAATTTCTTACTAGTTTGATCTCAATCCTTTGTAATTTGGAAATTCCCCATCCAAACATAAGAAAAATCATCATACACTTCTATAGTAGAGCAACTAGATTTTGATGAGTATAATTCAAATGTTAAACCTTTTTGGACTGTTAATATGACGCATCGAGATATAACACAAAGGAAATCATGAAATCCCAAAGGTAGAGTCCAATAGCAAATAAACTGAAGTTCATAAGCAATTTGAAATTCACCTGAAAATAGAGAAAACTCTAAAGTTGAATTGATAACAATATGAATTAATTACAAACCAAGCCAAGATAACTTATTTATAAGGAAACTTAACCCTAGAAATCCTATGAATTCAAATAGAAAAGGAACTAAACAAATATCAAAATTGTATTAAAATAATAAAATCTCGTTTTTGGCAATTAAACGCTGCAATTCGGCCAAATTCTGAATGTGCTTATTGTTTGCAACAAGTCTTGTAGATTTTGTCGTTCTCTTCGAATCCATGTATTACGGGCTCAAAACGAACATGCCAAACCACAGTTGCATTAATTTGGACAACCTGAAATGTCCAAAACATCCACTTTTGAGATACGACAACATCAATAATCTATTGACCATTAAATTGTCAATTCTCCAGTCACTTTTCTTCATTAAACGCCACTTCTCCTTTTATTTTTAGGATGGTGCTATCCACACACCCATTTTACTTCTTACACACCCCACTCAATTTCCAGCTGTCAGATCAAATAAACTGAAGAAAAATAATAAATACAATTAATAAGGGTGTGTGAGAAGTAAAAGAGTGTGCAAATAGCACTACCCCTAAGCTACTAATATAACTAGAATATCCAATTATACACAATGTATATGCAATGACAAGCATAATACACTAATATTAGAGATTCATTATCCTCTTTTCCTTAATAAAAAAATTCCAAAAGCATTTTAAAGCTTTTTATTTATTCATGGGAAAGATATACTTACGAACATCAAACGGAAAGGTTATGTGCTACAACTATTTCCTAGAAGTCGGCTAAGTGTCCGGCAGCTCTTCAACTATTCAATACAACTTGTTATTGTCTAAAATAAGCAATTGACTCGGCGCCGGCGGTACCTCTTTCTTTCTTTTGAGGTCGCTTCACTTGTCGACAATTATTCGTTCCTCTCCTAATCTAAGGATGAAGATCCTCATGATCAAGGGATGTGAGTCGTTGGATGAAAATCCAACGGCTAAAAACAGGGGAGTCCCTTTAATCCAACGGTCCACATCCCTTAGTCATGAGGATCCTCATCCTTAGATTAGGAGAGGATTCTCATCCATTAATACATAATACCAATCATCTAATCCACCTCTTATAGATCACTTCTCTAGCAAAATTCGAGCTTTGTGGAATTTTCAAAGAGGTGGGTCGAGGGCTCCACTTTCAACAGCATCGATGTTGTCCTTAATTTGATAATTACCTTATGTTCAATCTGTCAGATATGAAATGTTATCACAGAAGATCTCGGTATTAGTTAAAGTGAGAATAATCTTATTTAAACTCTTCCTTCTTCTTCCCTCAGGCCGTCAATTTTTATAACGTGGTACAAATTGAGTCCTAATATATTGTGATAGTCTTAATTTTGTGTGTAAACGACAATCGAGGGTTTTAAAACCACCCAATCCTCTTACCCTCTTCTCAAAATTCATGCACCTCCCAAACCACCCAATCCTCCCATCCCTCTTCTCAAAATTCACAAAACCGACACCCAACCGTCCATCCCTCATCATCTTCCCGCCTCGTACCCAATCAACGGTCCAAAATTTGGTAACAAAACCTGCAAAGCAGCTGATAACATACCACATGCAAATTCCACTACGATCTCTCTCAGCCCGGCAGGCAGAAAAAACCTGTTGGCGGCCCTTTTGTCGTTTTCCCCACGTCAGCACCATAAACCGTGTGCTCCCTACCCCGGAAATCCGAACCGACCGGCGTTTCTCCCCACTATATAAATCCCACGATTTCCATATCTCTATCCAAATCAAGTACTTGAATTCCATTCGGGTCAAAAATTCGGGTCGCAGCAAAAACTACGAAAATTCAAGATGTGTAGATCGACGGACTACCACGGATTCCAGTCACGCAGAGACCGATTGAAGATTCGGGAATTTTTTCTGCGGTTTTCTGGTTTGAATACCCGGGAACCGTTACCCGAATCGCTCAGTCTTATTTATCTTCCACGGATCAACGAAAACGAGCTTGAGATTGACGGGTCGAAGATCCGACCCGACTCGCCGGCGTTTGTGACGCTGTACCGGGTCGTGAACGCAAAGGTGAGAGAAGGAGAGGTGGTATTCGGGTCCAGGGAACGGGTCGGGGCCGGCGACGGGATCCGGTTTGAGGTGTACCTGAGGGAGGAGAAGGTGTTGAAGGGAATTTTCAGGAAGGATGAGGGGCAAGAGTGGAAATTGGAGTGTAAGTGTGTGCTGGAGGGTGAGAGTGGCGCGGCGGAGCTCGCGGAGCTCACGGAGGCTGAGGTGTGCGTGGCCGTGGAGGGACACGTGGCGATGAATGAGAGAGTGAGCATGGCGGTTAAAAAGACGAAAAAGCACCGGAAATGCGGGTTCAAGCGGTTGGAGGAGATCCCGGAGGAGGGAGAGGTGGATGATGCATCGGACGGCTGCTGTTGTAACTGTGGATCGGACGGTGGAGATTCGGAGATGGGGAGTGACGTGGACGGTAAGGATGAGGGGGAGATGGAGATGGATATGGAAGGAGTGAGATGGGCCGTGGATGTGGGGATTTGGGTCATGTGTTTGGGTGTGGGCTACTTTGTTTCTAAAGCCTCTTCCAAAAGCTTAAGACGCACAAGATTAATATAAGGCCCAATTAGTTTTTTGGTTTTTTGTTTTGTCAATTTCTAATCTAATTTTGGACAATTTGTTAAATTGTAAAGCACAAACAAAAATGATTATCTTTTCACAAGTATTACGATTTAGTGATATTTCTCTTCACTTATAAGCGAAAGTTTTAGGTTCGATTTTCACCAAAAGCGAATTTTAATCATATTATTGTTAGTCGATTGTGAGATTAAGACCACCATTCATCTTTAATGTAAATAATATCGTTTGTTAAAAAAAAAAAAAAAAAAAAGGCTTTTGAAGAACAGTTGGGATGATTTCCAATTTTCAAAGTATGAATCAATTTCATTTAAGATAATGAATTGGGTCAACTCAATCTAATCACGGATTTAATCTCTATTGTGGGGAAGTTAGTTGGAGTAACACCAATTAGTGTTTCATCCACTCTTCGAAGATTCCAACACCCCCTTATTTGTGCTTTTTTCATCGTACGGGCTTTAATTATGGAGAGATTTTTAGTGAGAGGAGAATACAGAGCAGAATATTACATATTATTATATAATTAGAAGAATTATATAATAATATATATTGTTCCGTCCTATATTTTGAATACATTGAAAAATCTCTCCGATCATGCATACAGACGTAACCTTTCCTTTCCCCAAAAGGATCAAAATCTTTTGGCAAATTAGTTAGTTTTTGTGTGTAGATAATCTTTAAAGGTAGCTTTAAAAAAGGGACAGTTCTGATTAAAAATCCACATTGCATGATGAAAATAGAAAAAAAGAAAGTAGGATGTGAATTTGCTAATGTAGAGAGATCTAATTAATCGACGGTCTTGCCACTTAATACTACGATTTAGTGTTATTATTCTTCACTTGTAAGTGAGATGTTTTTAGATTAAATTCCTGTTAAAGGTGAATTTGAATCATATTATTGCTAAACCATTGTGAAGTTTAGCCTACTTCCCAATCTCTTAATGAAGAAAACTCGTTTGTTCAAAAAAAAAAAAAAAAAAATCGACGGTCTTATAATTTGAATGAGGATCCTCTCCAGATCTTCTTTGTGAGGATCCAGAAAATCCTTCAATCGTAATCTTTCATCGTAAATCGTGCAACTAGTTTTTGTCAGGTACTATTTGTATTCAATTTTAAAATGATTTTTGACCGTACAATTTATGATAAATGGACACAATTAAAGGATCCCTAAAATCCTTACAAAGAAGATCCAAAGAGGATCCTTAGTCAATTAGACAGCTGATCACAGTAATTGACGGAATAAACACACATCAAGACTAAACTATAATTATATTATATCTCCGATCTAGTCATCAATGAATAATTTCTTTCTTCTATGACACTCTTTTAATATTAATGTTAATTAAGTTGGAAATTGATGATATTCTTTGTGCATATATAATACATAAATGCTCTATTTGAAAGCAACACTTTCCATACACTCTCTACCCTTTCATAGTTTAACATTAATTATAGTACCAACATCATAAGTATCATACCAAAAATATAAGATGACAAAAAATTTATTAAAATTTTCACTTTTGAAAGAGTCTCATAACATTTTTCTATATAATAAATGGGCAAGAAGACCAACTTTACAATGATAAGACGAGTAAGGGCAATCTTGGTCGAGGAAAGGGACAACGAGCAAGTGGGAAACCCCAAACACATGAACATGCTCAATAGTTGAGGAGCTGACAATCCCATAGGACATAGGAATTAATTTGGCTGCTGAATATTTCAGCGGTTACTCTTGCTTACACTTAATCTCGGGTGGACATATATTCAAGTTTTGATTTTTTTAAATTAAAATTTGAACAAATGTTCATCCGAGATTGAATATAAGCAGGAATGGTTGCTGAAAATTCAGCAGCCAAATCTTGTTCTAGGATACATACAAGACAAACAGTACACCCATATACACACAGGTACATAACTTATTCTCCATTTAATGTTTTTTGTCCTTGTGCCTAATATGTAACATGGGAAGAGGAGCCTCTTCGGATTCACGTTGTGGAAATTCTAAAGATCCTTACATTTTAACCATTCATCGTATATCGTGTGGTTAGTTTTCGTTAGGTACTATTTGTGTTTAATTTTAAATAAAAAAAGTCAAATAATTTTTTATCGCACGATACATAATAAATGATTAAGATGTAAAGATTTCTAGAATTCTCATAATTTGAATCCGAATGAAATTCAATTCCTATAACATCTATTAAGATAACTGGATACCATGAGATGTGAATGTTCACCAAATAATTTATTTTATTTTGGTCCATTCGAGATTGTACACCGAATCGGGATTAAACCACATGGTCCATCACTTGTCTAGATCTTCGTCAATTTCTTTGAGTTTTGCATTTTTTGCTATTGTGATGGTGACTTGGTATATGGTGGCATCTCACACTAGCTAAAGCTATTTAAGTTTTTACTTTGTAAAATTAAATTGTCATTTTATCAATTGTTCAAAACTTATTATAGAGTGGCGGACGTGATTTAAGAGCACTTTCAATGTGTAAAGCCTCTCTTTGGTAATAGGCAATTCAATTTCCTTCAGTGAATAGTAATGAACAGTAATTATCTTTTGCATCTCCATCCCTTAATTGAATAGCCATGACAATAAATAATAAAATATTAGTATTTTTTATGTTCAAAAATAATAAAAAATAATTTTATTTATAATTTCGGATATGATTTTTAACAAGAAAAATTGAAATCCCATAGTCCAGATTGTGACACGTGTCCCCTTGAAACATTTATGTTTTTTTCTTATTTTTTAATTTTTAAAACAGAAAAAATCTAGACTGTTGATCTTGAAATCAAACTGTCCAGATTCAACTACTACTTAGTAGGCTGCAACGCAGGCCCCACCGCCTGAAATCTTATCGATAACGCGCTCCCCAAGCGCTTGTGTTATGCACGCGCTTGACGCAAATTTTTTTATAACGTTGTTAACGTTAGCTTTGCATCACTTCTCCTCAAATGCTCAGGCCTTAGACTTGTGCCTAAGCTCTCCCACGGGCTCCCCCTTAGCCCAATTGCATGAATGGGTTGACACCACTTTGGGAGGGGATTGGATTGCAAATGGAGTCTGTCCACAGGGCAAAAGAGCACGGTAAACGTGCTCTAAGAGTATTTACATTTGTACTTGTAATCTCGAGTTTGTGTTTTTTAGCTTTTCACGCATTATTATTTAATCATGCACTTTATGTTTGATTTCCTCAATTCGACAACTTCAAGTAAAGAGAAGATGTGGTTTGTGTCGTAGCTGAAGAGTAATGCTACTTTGACCAAAATTTTATACCACAATTTAATACTATTTTAGGTGATGTATGAGTTGGACAAGGGCACATGAGTAAATTGAGTTTTTAAATTTCATATATTTTGAATTAAACTATCTCAATTCCTGATCCTCGCAACCCCAATCGTATCCCTCATTCCCCTTCAATTATTCTCTCTCCCATCTCTACATGCACCAACTCTACTGCACACAAAAAGATTGAAAAAAAAAAAAAAAACACAAGGAGCTTAGAACCATGGCTTTTCATCCCTGTGATTTTTCGTTTTCTTGCCGACAATTTTGTTTTCGGATTTTTGTGGTTGAAAAGGAGATCATCAAATGATGGTACAAATATGTGGTAACGTAATATTACTCATTTGATACCATATTCAATATTAAATTAGGCTACCTATTATGTAGTTTTGTCGAATTCTCCCTCCCTTTAGTATAAAACTATCGATGTACTAAAAAAAAACATTACTCATTCGACAACAATTATGAGTTAGAAATTTAATGATCTAATGATGGACATGTCCACCAATTTAATCTAATAATCAATGAAAAGTAGCAAATCCCTTTTGTTTTTTTTTTTTTATCAAACGATAGATTTTGTTAGATTAGTTACCAACGAAATTTAAACTCATGCTATTATGCAAAAATTCAACACATTTTCACTACTGTTGTAAAAGGGCCACTTGCCTCCTTTGTTTTTCGTTAAGAAAGACAAATAATTAATTCAAAACTGTAATTCCAAAAAATCAGAATTTATTCGAAATTACAGATAATGACTTAATTAGCAACAAAATTATTAACAGCTCACCCAGTAAAAAAATTGCAAAAAATAAATAAAAAAAGCAAAATTACCAAAAGGCCAAAAGAAACGAGCACGGGTCCCCGCCGTCCCTTATATAATGACCGGTCCACGTGTCAGCATCCCCTTCACCCTTCAGCACTTCGGCCACGTCATCACTTCTCTCTCATCACAAACACAAAGCCAAGTTCCTGCTCCTCGCTTCTCTCTTTCTACACTCTCGCTCCTCTTCAATCGCTTCTCATGGCGGTCAACGAGTCCATGTAATACAATCGAAACGCAGAGCCCGTAGCCTCAAAACGACATAGCTGAAGCACAAGTCCTCGAGCAGATGGGGAGGATGGGGAGCAATTCGAGGTCTCACTCGGCGAATCCGAACGACTACAAGCTTCTGGAAGAGGTCGGATATGGCGCCAGCGCAACGGTTTACAGAGCGATCTATCTCCCTTTCAATGAAGTCGTCGCCGTCAAGTGCTTGGATCTCGATCGCTGCAATAGCAATTTCGTCAGTTTCTTACTAGTCTCGATTTTTTTTTTTTAAATCCCAAAATTTTGTAGTTTTCAATGACTATTGTGAATAATTTTTAGTTGTTTGGTTGATAATTGAAGCTAGATTTGAGTTGGAATTAAGATCTTTGCTTTGTTCTGAGATTGGACTTCAATTTCTGACTTGAATGCTTGATTTGTTGATTTGAGAATGTGAAATTAGTGAGCAATCGTAAGTTTTTTGCTTTTTAATTTTTTTAATTTTTTGAATTGGTGTAGGATTTAGGTATATTCAATTGAGAATTTAAGAGATTTTAATGGATTTATAAATTCATGGATTTTTATATAGTTTAATTGATTTGTAGAGATTCTATATAAAATTTTGATTCAATTTCCTCGAAATCCCACAGGAGAGGCGAGGTTTGTGGATATTTAAAATACATTATGAAATCTCTCCAATTCTCTCTAATTCCTCTAACTTTCTCAAATTCTTTAAAATCAATTTCTAATTGAATACATTTGAAATGTTATAAACTTCTTTAAAATTTTAATTGAGTACAGATTTCTAAAGATTTTAATAAACTATTTTAAAATCTTAATTAAATACATCATATTTCTAAGGATTTTAATAAATTATCTTAAAATTCTAATTAAATGCATCTTGAATTTCAGAGAATTACTTAAAATCCAATTGAATACCCTAGATTCATTAAAAAATCAAAATCACTCAAAATCCCAATTGAATACACACCCTTAATTTGGATGAGTATATATGGTTATGATCCTCAACCTGTCAACTGTCGTTATCGATGAGCGCAAATCGTAACTTTTGCAAATGCTATTGTCTTAGTTGCTGAAGTAATTTTTTTTGGAATGAATGCTGTTGAAGAAAACCCAAGTTCTATTTTTTTTTATACTGTGGCGGATTTGTAACCCGTTTTCGGATTTTTTGTTTTGTAGGAGGATGTCCGGAGGGAGGCGCAGACGATGAGCTTAATGGATCATCCCAATGTCGTGAGGGCGTTTTGTTCATTTGTCGTTGAAAGAAACCTTTGGGTGATCATGCCGTTTATGGCAGAGGGTTCTTGTTTGCACCTCATGAAAATCGCATATCCAGATGGGTTTGAGGAGTCGGCGATTGGTTCTATTCTTAAGGAAACCCTCAAGGCTTTGGTTTACCTTCATAAACAAGGTCATATTCACAGAGATGTGAAGGTTTGTTTCATTTTGTGGGTAATCATTCATTGTGCTTTGTTTTCATACCTTTGTTCTGAGGATCTCACTTTTTGATTGTGCTAATGTCTTGGCTGCAGGCTGGAAATATTTTACTTGATAGTAATGGGGCGGTGAAGCTTGCTGATTTTGGTGTTTCAGCTTGCATGTTTGAGGCAGCTGATAGACAACGGTCAAGAAACACTTTCGTAGGAACGCCGTGCTGGTAAGTTTTAGTGCCACAGAAGTTATTACTTAATTCCTGTTTGGTACCACATGTTAAACTGCTTGCTTTATAATCCATGTAGTTGAGATTTGGATTTATGTTTTGCTTTCCAGGATGGCACCGGAGGTATTGCAACCAGGAAGTGGATACAATTCCAAGTGAGTTTTATTTGATGTAGTAACTTAAATTTTTTTTCTTTCTTCTAATAATATGTGGCTCCAGGCTTGTGAACACCTAAAATCTCTTCTCCTCGTCAGGAGACAGAGACATAGCTTCCGTATTAATATGCATGATTTCACAAATCGCAGCTCCACATTTGTTTCCTACCCTGAGCATCAGAGCTGTTTATTACGGATTTTTTTTTTGGTTTCTTCATAATTGCCACTGTGCCATATATATTGAGCTGATAACTAGATAACAAGATATAGAAGCTGTGCCTTTTAACATGTTAGATCTATACGTATATGTCTATGCACATATCAATTATAGATAGTTATATGACTTGTGAATCCTATTCAAGGGGATGCGGGTGGGTGGTGGATAACTCTTTTTCTACATCTTTTAATCTTTCATGATAAGATAAACAGAGGAAATCACATTTTTGTTGCAAGTGTTCAATATGTTATCTGCTTTGTAAGCTACCTTCGTCACTTGATTTCTCGAGCAAGGGACACATTTTGCTCAGTACTTTATAATTTGAAATATAATAAAAAGGGGGTCATATGTGCTTATTTCTTAGTTTTCTGTTGGATGATAACTGTTCAGGGCTGACATTTGGTCATTTGGTATAACGGCGTTGGAGTTGGCCCATGGTCATGCACCATTTTCAAATAACCCTCCAATGAAGGTACTTGTGTTACTAGGGTATAACTACACTGCACACCTATATGGTGCTTCTTCATTGAAACCTCTGACGTGCCACTCTTTTTGTTTGTTTTTGTAGGTTCTTCTCATGACCATACAGAATGCCCCTCCAGGACTTGATTATGAACGTGATAAAAAGTTCTCTAAGGTATTGGTTTTCATTCTAGATAGAGTGACATTGTTGCAAACATTTGTTTTATGTAGGTAAACAAACATTTGTTACTGCATTGTGTATCATTAATCGGTATATAAGTGTCAAAGACTTCAATTCTGGTAGTTGCCTTGTATTGTATTTCGATTACAGAATAATATTCTAATTGGAGGATTTCCAGTTGTGATCAGTCTTTTAAAGAAATGGTTGCAATGTGCTTGGTAAAAGATCAAACAAAGAGACCAACAGCAGAGAAATTATTAAAACACTCCTTTTTCAAGCATGCAAAACCTCCAGAGCTTTCTATAAAGAAATTGTTTATGGACTTACCACCTCTTTGGAATCGTGTAAAAGCCCTCCAGGTTAGCTGTCACACTTTTATTATATTGCTTCCCTGCTTTCAGTCTTTCATATGTTTTAGTATGCCTGTTTCATGAATTGCTAAAGTATTGGACTATCACAGCTTAAAGATGCAGCACAACTGGCTTTAAAGAAAATGCCGTCAGCAGAGCAAGAGGCAATGTCACAGGTGTGATATGTATCTTCAAGCTGTTATTCTTTCACCTAAAATTGACTTAAACAGGGTCACAGATGTTCACATTCAGAGTCCAGTAATTTGAGCATGGTAACTAATTGATGTAAAAGAAATTATTTGGTGTAATCCTTAGTGGCGTCATTTTCTCTTTCTTTACAGAGTGAGTACCAGCGAGGAGTTAGTGCCTGGAACTTTGACGTTGAGGATTTAAAAGCTCAAGCATCCCTGGTATGACACATTTTATTATTTAGCAAGTATCAGCATGTTCCATATAAAGATAGTATCTCTGGGGGGTTTCCTTGTTTTTGTGTATTTCTAAATTAATATCTTTCATTTTTTATGCTAGGTGCGAGATGATGATGAAATGATGGATGAAGATGAAAAATTTAAACCCGTTAGTGGTGATAAGGTCAACAGTTTGCTATATTCTTTAGAAATTTGTCACTCTTTTAACTGCAGTTTAAGATTTTGTTTTATATTTGCACTCAGCTGGCCTTTTGCTTTTAGAAGTATGATTATTATGCAGAAAGGTGATTTCCTTTTTGTTTATGCTAGCAGATTGAAACTAGTTGGCGTTCCAGTTTGGGGAAGTTGAACGAAAATAATGAATCATATTGGACTGATTACAAAGGAGAAATCAATGGTGATGAATCACAACAGGTTGAATGCTTAAACAAAAAGGGCAAGGATCTTGAAAGTAATTTATTGGAATCTGCTGGCCAGCAGAAAACAGGCTGGAAGACAAATGAATCAAGCTCTGAGGCAACAGCATCTACATCAGAAAAAGACACGGTGCAGGCCAAGCCTAAACCTCTTATTGTGAAAAGTCGTCAAACGCAGAGTGGTCCACTCACACCTGGTGCTGGACTTGGTCATTCAGTATCAGAAAGGGGCCGCATCTTTGAAAGGTTTGTCATGGTTGAGTAATGCTCCAGAATGTAAGCTTTTGGTTTCATCTCTCGCTCTCTCTCGTGGGATAAGTTCCTTATGCTTTTGATATCTTCAGGAATGAGAATGAAAATCAACCTGTAATTGATAAAGGTAAATGCGAAGTACGACGAACACCAAGCTTTAGTGGTCCACTGATGCTTCCCAATCGAGCTTCAGCAAACAGTTTATCAGCTCCTATAAAATCTTCTGGAGGTAATGATTATTTTCACTATGTTTTAAAGATGAAAATCAACAGTGCAACTATTCCAACTATTATGTGCCCTATTGCTTGGAATTCTTATTGCCAATTGTTTTACCGTTAATAGGATTTAGAGATTCTTTGGATGACAAGTCAAAGGCTAATTTGGTGCAAATCAGGGGGAGATTTTCAGTGACATCAGAAAATTTGGATCTTGTAAAGGTGAAGCTTTATTATTATGCTATGCTTAATTACTTATTCTATTTTTTATAATCACTAACTTTAAAAGATTGCCATAGGATATTCCATCGAGTCCAGTACCTCGTCGATCTTCACAGGTGGGTAGCTGGTTTTGCTTAACCTTTCTCAAGTAAATGTTTTTAGTTCTAAATCATGTTCTGTTTTGTTATTTTAGGGATCACCTCTGAGAAAGTCTGCTAGCGTTGGTGATTGGGTATTTGACTACAGGCAAATGGTTTGTTTGTGATCTCTCTCTCTCTCTCTCTCTCTCTCTCTCCGTAGAGGTTTTTATCAGAAATAATCCTTGATGTTTCGTCAACTCTTACTTCTAGTCTGTATATTGACATGCTCATTGATGTTGCCTCTATGCCAGATTCCGTTAAAAAAAATCCGCTAGTTTGCTGACATGGCGTGCATGCGGGGACCATTTGTCCATTACCATTTTTCAAAAAATGCAGAAGAAACCCACAAAAAGTTAAATAAAAAAAATAGCGAGTAAAATAAATAAAATGTTAAAAAACTAAAACAAATCCCCCTTGCTATCTCTGCCACCTGCCTCTCCCCCACCCCTACAGCACCCAGCTCAACCCTCCTCCCCCTCCTACTCACCACTCCATTCCCTGACCCTCATCCCAAAACCGAAAACCCAGATTTTGGGCCGCAACCCACCCGCCACCCCCACGCACACATCAATCAACCAAGACCTGGTTCTCCATCCCACTTCATCTGTGACCAATAAGTCTATTATCATATGTGAGCTCTACAGGGACGGTCATGGCGGTCAAGAAGTTGATGGCTTTAATGATATTGAATTCCATGGTGGTCTAAGAGGACTGTTGGGAAGGGGTGGGGGGTCGTCGGAGGTGGTGTTTGGGTAGGGTGGTTTGGCCAGCGGTTCATGTGTATTATTTGGGTTTCTAATTTACTTATTTGAATTTAGTTTTTCATAATTTTGTAAATTTTAAACCATTTATTGTACCCACATGGCACCATCTCATTGGATAAATGGTCCCCACATGCACGCCATGTGAGCAAACTAACGGATTTTTAACAGAATCTGACGGAGGGACAACATTGATAAGCATGTCAATAAATGGATGACCAAATTGATATTTGAAACCTAAAAACTAGAATTAGGAGTTGGCGAAACATCAGGGACCATTTGTGATTAAAAAAAAAAAAAAAAACCCTTATATAAAAGAAGATTGCTTTATGAGATCTGAATCCCAGCCGTTAGATATTGATTCAACCATGAACTTCATTCTCATCAATAACTGGGATATCTAAGTTATAGGTGTGCGTATACAAATATATCTGAGTTCATGGGAGTATTTGATGAACAATATTAGATCTTATCTTAGATTTTTCCGCATTTTCTATATTCACTTAGTTCTAACATAGTTGTTTTTTTTGTGCTATGACAAAAATGTAGAAGGTTCAGTTACTTACTTTGCCTCTGCGGTAGTTTGAAATCTTATTTGTCCTTTATTTATGTGATTTCATTCTTTATGTTTCAGCCTGCCACTCTGTCAATGAAGGAGTTCAACAACAGCAACTTACCTGCATCACTTCTCCTGCCTCAGCTTCAGAATCTTTTTCAACAGACGTTGATTCAACAGGTAAAAGAGCAAATCTGGTGCAACATAGATTGTGGATAGACTTGAAGAAATTGATTTTAAAACTTCGGCTTGCAAATTTAGTGCAAATTTGTTTATTCTTTTGATTGCAGGATATTATTATGAATTTGCTAAACAGCTTGCAACCAGCTGAGGCAGTAGAAGGTGAGTGATATATCTGTGGGAGTATGATACTAGATATGAGTTGTGTATTTGTACAGATTTTTATTGAACTAGTTAGTAAGGTACCTCCTTTTCTTATTTCAGCTACTCAAAATGGAAAGTTACCTCCATTGCCTCGCAGTTCTGAGAACAATGGAAATGTACGTATATTTTATTTTTTTCCCAATTCTGATATAAAGATAACGCATCGTATTAGCTTCTCAACAGTTTCCCTTTGGTATTTTTTTTTCTTTTCCAAATGATAGATTAGTCTGTCCCTTATGGTGGTGGCCTTACTCTAAAACTCTATTGGACTTGTATATCAATGATTAGTCAGTCATTATCTTTGTAGAGTTTGTAACATTCTCTAATTTGTCCAACCAACAGGTTGAAACTGCAATTTCTGAGAGGGAGCGTTTATTGCTCGCCAAAGTATCGGAGCTTCAAGCCAGGTTAGTCATCCCAAGTCTAAACCGAGTACTTTGGAAGAATCTTTTTTATTTTATTTTTCCTGCTTTCATACAAGTTTGGCCGATGTTTCTCTCTTTCCAGGATGAGCAACTTGAGTGATGAACTGAATGCTGAAAAGATGAGACACAATCAAGTGAGTTGCTAAAGAGTTCTTAATAACAGAATTCTCGCCTTAAAATACGCTTGAAGAATGATGAAAAAAACAATTACATTTCTATAATATTGTGGTTGAGCCTAGAGTGGGAATTTTAGAAATGGGACGGTTAGGATTGGTACGTTGTGAGTTGAAAGTGTTGATGGTGATGGGTTTCTATGTTATATCCCTCTGTTTGCTTGCGTTTATGTTATCATTAATTCGTTGGTTATCGCTTGACAGTTGCAACAACAGCTAAATGCTGTATGTGGGCAGGAAAATGGAGAAAGAAGTTGACGGTGCGTGACCCAAAGGTGTAATTGGTGTAAAGGAATCCACGGTGTACATCCGGCCACAAGCTGTAGACCGTTTCTCTCCAACGAATTTTCCTCTTTGCTGAATGGGAATTGTTTATGGCTGCCGATAAAGGTAAATGCATCGAGAGGATAGAAGTTGCTGTTCCTGGATCTCCTCCCATTGTAGGTAATAAGTTTCCTTCCTCAAGGATTTCAGCCACTTCAGAATCCAGATGAGTAATATGCGAGTTTACGGGTTCATCATGATGTGATTTGTGTGGTTTGGAAACAGAAAATTAGGTCCTTCCCTGCAGTGATGATCGTAGCCATGATCCCAAGGAAAAGAGAAGGTTATATGTGCTTTATAGTTAATAGGGATGCATTTTATTTTATATTTATAAATGTTTAAACAGATTTTATGAGCTTGTATATGATGGCTGTAGAACACAAATATTTTTTTTTCTTTTTCTTCTCCTTTAAAGGGGGAACAACCAGTGGCAAGTCATGGTTTTCCACCCCTTTCGGGAGCCGGGAAGACTCATAGAGGCATTTCAGCCTTTCTCTGATCACAATGTTTATTTATTATTTGATATATACTAAATCTACTTCATCGAAACCATTATCAATTTGGGATTTAATACATTTGCTTTATTTTAATTTGTTCATAGAAGTTATGATTTCCTATACTACAAGGCGTGATGGGGTTATAAATTTTACAAAGAATCAAAATAATTCATGTATTAAAATTAATATTTACCTTTGAGATGTGTTAAATTCTAATTCATAGATTTTGGGCTAATTTAACTTGAAAATATGGAGAATTAAGGAAACTCTCTCAGGGCATCTCAAATTGTAAATGTGGAGTACTTAAGCTTAAGTTGTTTAGTTCACAAACTCGTATTAAAATTGGTGGAAAGCATTTAGGTTTTTGTATCTGGGTGCGGGTTCGATTTTAATCGACTTTCCTTCCTCCCTAACAATTAACTTCTAACATACTAATGCTATCACTAAACTTAAATAATAATAATAATAATAATAAAATAATAATAATAATAATGAGTATTTATCGTTAAAAGTCAAAATTTAATACCTCATTTCATAAATGTTACATTTTATAAAAACTTTCAAATATATAAAAAAAAAACTCAAATAAATGGACCTAAATACCCTCAAAATTCAAAATCCATTTACATATAAAAGCCAAAACACTTAAATAAATCTCTCGTACTACTTATTCAAATTGTGAAACCGTAAGGAGAGTTGGTAGTATCAAACTTGTGGAGATCAATTTCTGATTAGTTTATAACTCATTGAACATGGAAGGTCAATGAAATTCTGGTGGGAGTTGTAACGAAACGACTCAACCGCTCCAGCAGGGAAGAATTTTTGGACAAAGTTAAATTAAGGATATACATTACTAACTCCAACTATTAAAACCAAAACAAAATTCAAGTGTCATGCATGTTGAAGGACTCCTTTTTGTGTTTAATCAGAAGGACTTCCTTTTGTGTTTAATCATAAGTGTTCAAACACATTGTTCTGAAATTACAAAACAACAATAAAATAAAGATATTACAATTTTTTAGAGTAAAATTTTGTATAAGAACTTGTGTTAACGAAGATATTGGATGCTAGTCTTAAAAGGGTATATTCCACCACTTATAAGAGCTTATGTTATTCTTATGTTTATTTGGTTTTTAATTTTAAGGGTATTTAAGTCTATTTAAGTGGATTTTTTGTTATTTTTGACAAATTTTATAAAAAAATGACATTTATGAAATTAGGTATTAAATTTTGGCTATTAGTGATAAAAACTCAAATATAATAGTCAAACAAGATGCAAGCTTGAGCTGAGTTTAAACTGATTTAGAATGAAGTGTCAATTTAGTCCTTGAATTATCACATGAGTAAAAATTAGATCCCTGAATTATTTTTTCGATAAAATAAGTCCCCAAATTCATTGAAAATTGCTAATTTCATCCCTACTATTATATTCAAAGATATTTTATCCAATTTTTCATTAACTTAAGTCACTTGACATACTTTAGAGTGTAATAATTTTCTTGCCTATAAGCCCTTAACATTTCATATAGGTTGTGAATTTAACATCTAATTTACCCTCCAAAGTTAACTTACACTATTTCTTTATGAAAAACTATCAATTCACCATCCAAAGTTAACTCGATACACTATTTTTTTAATGATAAAATTACCAATCTACCCTCCAATGTGTATCACATGCAAGTAATGTGACTTAAATTGACGAAAAATTGAATATAGTAGCTTCAAGTATAATATTAGGGATGTAATTGGCAGATTTTTATAATTCAATGACTGATTTTTCTTAAAAAACAGTTTAGGGACCTAATTTTCACTGAGGTGACAATTTAGGAACTAAATTGGCAATTCACCCAACTGATTTATAACACAAAAATCAAGTATTAGCACATGAGAAGGTTAAAAAACAAAATAATTAGATTGAGACATTGTTATTGTGACTTTGAGTAGGTAAGTTCATGATATTATTAGGATATCACAACTACTCAAGCACTCATTTTTATATCTTATACATTCTTGTTAATTTTTTATCATTGATCTTCTTCAATTCATTTAATTTGATGGTCGTGAATTGATAGAGATTATAAAAAGTAAAAATGAGTGTGTAGGCAGCATTCCCTTATTATTAGGGAACTTTAACTAAAAGCTCGCGGTACTGTTCACTTTAATGAAAAACCATATTTTTACACTAAAAAGTCAATCTTAATACTATTTACTTTACCGTTTTCGTTATAACTTAAAAGTTTTCAAACCATTTTCATTAGTTTTCTTTTATTATTAGTGTGGTCAATCAAACTAAACGACGTGTAGTTTGAAACGCGCGAGACTCGAGGCGGCCGCCATTCAGCTGTGCCGAGATTACATTGGCGGTGGAGTGTAGTGGCGCATGCTAAAGCCAAAGCCATGGCCGCAATCCACTGCTCCTCCACTCTCCATTCTCTAAAACCGCCGCCGCCGCTTCCTCCTCAGCTCTCCAGCCTCAGACCCTCTCTCCTCTCCACCAGCGAACACCCAAACAGTAAGAAGAACAAAAAGCTCACCGGATACAGACCCTGCAGAGCGGAGTTCTCAAACGACGCGCCGTTCGTCGCCGCCATTGGCGCCTGCATGCTCTCGTCTCTGGTGCTTCCCGCCAGCACTCCCGATGACGATGCCGAAGGCGGTTCGGCGATGGATTCCACCTATGCCAGGTTCGCCGTCATGGGCGTCATCAGCTTCATTCCCTACTTCAATTGGCTGGTAAAACGAACAAACAAAAAACCCATTTTTCTTTCAAATTCTTGAACTTTTTGATTATTTATATGAATTTGTTTGTTGGGTTTGTTTTAATTTTTGTTGGGTTGGACTGAATAATTGTAGAGTTGGATTTTTGCTTGGTTGGATACCGGAAAACGGCGGTATGCGGTGTATGCGCTTGTGTACTTGGTTCCCTACCTGAGGTTTGACTCTCATACTCTTGATTGAATGCTTGCATTGTATTTGCATACTCTGGTGTTGTTTAATTGAGCAGTTGTATTGCATACTTGTGTGCTTATCGTTTTCAGTTTTTGACAAATGAGGAAAATCTGTCATACCAATGATCAACAAACTGTTGAGCTTATGCTTCTGTTCTGGTTATCTGTATCTGTGATTCTGGGCACTAATGTGACTTGCCCGTGATTTGTTAGGACGAATTTGTCGTTGTCACCTGAGGAGAGCTGGCTGCCCATTGCTAGCATCGTTTTCTGCATTATTCATGTCCAGGTATAAGTTCGCGACCATTCTTTCTACCCGGTTCAACCTTTATGACTTGTTGGGGTTCAATAGAGTGTATGTTTGAGTCTCTTAACGGAACCTTTTCAAATGAACGGTGAAATGTTACAGAATGGAAAAGAAATATATTGCTAGGCAACATGGATGGAACTATATGCTGTCATGTAATATTATGTTGTTGGGAAAGCTCTAGAGTTCCTAGACTAATGGTTTTGAGGCATTTTGATTGCGAGTTCATTCAATTGTTTGCACATCATGTAACCGTATTCTCTGCGATTCCACATTTTTTCCCTTGCAGCTGGAAACAAGTATTAAAAATGGAGATCTTCAGGGCTTTCAATTCTTTAACGAGGCTGCAAAGCATCTCTCGTCAACAAGTAGTAGGAAAGATCATCGGAGTGGGTATCAAGGAACCTCTGAGGTGGTATTAACTACTTAAGTTCCATAGCAGTTTTGAAAATTGTAGGTAGATTGTACCCATGTCTGACACAAGCTTAATCGGTTTTACGTCATCTGCAGGGGAAGAAAAGAGGAAATAAGAACCTTCCATCCAGTGATGAACAATCGAGAAATGAGATTGATGATTAGGGAGTTCCGAAGAGGCCCTTAAAAGATCATGAGCGCTTGAATGAAGAGGAAAATGAAAGAAGGAAACACTAGAAGGTCAGAGTTTGATGCAAGCAACTTGAATTTCAGAACGCAGCCTTGTGCCTTACAAAGTATCATGAATGTTAGATAGTCATCTTTTACTAAAATAAAGACAGCCGCAACTGCAAGCTCAGCGCATGAGGAAGCGTCGAGAGGTACCATACAAGAAGTGTAGTCCGATGTCACTAGCTGCACACCGATATGAATTAGAACATCCTGATGACGAAGATGAATTCACATGATGGAGAGTGTAGATGCCTTTTCTTTACCGACACTGGCAGGCAAAGCGCCATGGTTTGTTTATCGATTAAGTTATTTTGTTTTAGGAAATGAGAGATGAAGATGAAGTACAAGATCATGAAATAATCATTTTATTTATCATCAACATCTTAAATAACGCTCAAAGTATCGTGTCTCTCGTAAGTATGTACATCTTTCGGTTAATTGGATCCCGATACAGATTTCTTGATAGGAAAGGGACTCAAGAGCCCCGTCTTAAAACAATAGTCCAGAGCAACAGCAGCAGAAAGAAAAACAAAAAGACTCTGAGATACGTAAATCGCTCCATCAAAAGCGTGTGATACGAAGCTACCAGCATTCAGTTCCAAGGGCTTTCCACCATCCAGTGTAGCAAGCCCCTTGACAACACCGAAGGCTGCAGGCGCCCCGGTCTTGAGTTGAACATTGTCTAAGTCTCTTCGCATTGTGTATCGAAACGTGACTCCAAATAGAGCGCAGCTAGCGAAGGTGACTCCCAGAGGGAGGATGAGCTCGGAAATGCTTGCCACTTGAGTGAAGGAGAAGGGCAATCCGGCAACAGTGCCGACAAGGGCGGAAACTGAAGCTGCCTTGATCGATTGCCATCTCTCTTTATCCTTGTCTATCTCCTTATTTTCGGTCTCTGCAGAAGCATATCCGTCTCCGAGTTGATCCCCGTCTTGTGAGAGGGTCCGTTCGGCTTCTTCAACCATGGATTTCGCTTCTGATATCTCCTTTTGACATTCTGCAATCTTCAATGCAAACACAGCTAACAATCTTAGCAGGAACAGATGCCCAACAACATATAACACGTCAATTGTCATTGTCTTTGAACAAAAGTTAAAGTCAGAAACAAAAAATTCTTAACAACTCAACAGAATCAAAGGACAAATCAATGTTTTCAACAATTAAGCTGACCGTTGTCACTTACAAATTAAACAAACAATCGAGTGGGAGCTGATATCAACACTCCAAAATAGTCATCCCCGATAATAAGATAAGGCAGACAGAGTGCACGATGACTATTTTGAAGCGCTACTAATAATTATCAATTGAATAACTTCAAGGAAATATAATAAGGCACCTAAAACAAAAACCCAATTCAGGAAACCCACAAAAATTGGGAATTGGAAAGAGGGAGAACCTCAGAAGCTCTGCTTTCAAGTTGGGTAATGTAATCGCTCACAAGCTTGGCCTCAAGTTCCTGCCTTTCAATCTCAGCCAGCTCTCTCTTGGCATTCTCAACCCTCTGAGACGCCTTTTCCAACCCATCGAGCAACTCCCTGTTCTCTTCTCTTTTCAGGAGCTCCTCCACTTGCTCTCCCACAATGCCACTCAGTGCCTTCTTCAGGCCGCCGCCCTCTCCAGCGGTGCCGCCAGTCGTGCATTTTGCTATGAGGGGTCGATGAGGTGGGGAAGGAGGAGAGGCTCGGGGGAAGAGTGCAGAGGAGGATTCTGATGGGGTGAGGAGTTTTGGTGGGAGGAGATGAGATGTGGGGTTTGTGGAGGGTGCCCAAACGAGCTTGATGGTTGAGGGCATGGTGGTCACTGGAGGATTTTGTTATCCTATCTCGTGTTTTGTTTGATGAAGTACCCACCACTCACCTCAAACTTTTCATGTTTAATTACCATTTACTTATTTGAAATTGGAGTTGACATAAAAAAAAAAAAAAAAAATCCTTATTTGAAATTGGAGAAGGCAAGGTCTTGCAACGCTAAGTGATTAAAAGTTTTTATTTGGCTCAATATTTTGTAATGTTGACACGAATATTAAAAATATAGGATAGAAGACAAATTGTAACGGACACACAATTAACAATTAATTATAATAAATGTTTAAACCAATTAAAATTAATAAAAATATTCCATAATTAATTAAAATTATTTTGAAGCCCGTTCACCCTTCCTAGCAGATTGGTATTTCGATTAGAAAATGCTACTACTGTCTTTTTTTACTATTATTATTGATATGGACATTTATTTATTTTTTTATTTTTTGAGTCGAGCGATAGCGTTAGTAGGTTAGATGTTATATTAATCATCGACGAGGGTTTGAACCCACGCCATTATGCATAGACACAACACCTTTCCACCGTTGCGGTAAATGACCACTTGCTTGATGTGGACATTTTGACTCTTAGCATTTCTCAATATATTGTTAAGAAGTTAATGGTAAAATTAGGATTTGGATCATCTCCTAAGCTTAGGAGGCTGAGCCTTCTAAGCAAACCACGCGGACTGTTAAATTTTGATCTAACAACTACAATTATTATAATTTTTAGAGAGATTCCCTGTTTGTAGCAATTGAATTAAAATTCAACGACCCGTGTGATTTATTCAAGAGGCTTAGCCTCCTATATTCAGGAGAGGATCCAAATCCGTAAAATTAATAATTTTTTAACAGATGGTAAAATTAATAATTAAGTTAGTAGACATAACTCCCGACTGTTGAATTCCCCGCTAAGGCATGCTTCCGCTAGTAGGCAGAGGGTTTAAGCACACGTTCCCTATCGCCTTCCCCGCCCACTACCACCGCCTACATCTGCACCTATCCCGCTCTCTCATGGCCGCCGCCACTTCACCTAAGCGAGTCGGGACCCACAACGGTAGCTTCCACTGCGACGAAGCCCTCGGCTGCTTCATGATTCGCCTAACCGACAAGTTCTCCAACGCCGAAATCGTCCGCACCCGCGACCCCAAGGTTTTTTTTTTTCATCCCTTTTCCATTTTCTGTTTGGTTCCCGAGAAAATTGATGATAAATGAAGTTACTTGGTTGAAATTTGAAACCAATTTGTGATTTCTTATTGTCGTTGTTATTGTTTGTCTGAGGGTTTTAGGTTTTGGAGGGTCTGGATGCTGTGCTTGATGTTGGGGGTGTGTATGATCCTAGTCGGGATCGATACGATCATCACCAGAAGGGTTTCGAGGAGGTTTTTGGGCATGGGTTTAAGACTAAGCTGAGTAGTGCTGGTCTGGTTTACAAGGTATGTGCTTCTAAAGGTCATATCTTTTTAGGGATTTAAGTAATGGGATTTGCAAATGCGTAACTATTCTTGTGTACAAATCTGTTTGAAGCATTTCGGGAAGGAAATAATAGCGAAGGAGCTTCAGGTCGATGAAGGTCACCTTGATGTGCATAGGTTATTCCTGGCTGTGTACAAAAGCTTTATGGAGGTACTACTAAATTCTGCATTTTTCTTCTTATGCTACGTGAAAGTAGAATGGGGCCGTGCTACCTTTAAGTTTTTAACTTTATTTGAAATTGAACGGATGTGTTGATGCTGAAAACCTGTTAAGTTATAAATTAGAACAAAACCATTGTAAGGATGCCATTTTTGCCGTGATTACTTGTAACAGGCAATTGATGCTGTAGACAATGGGATCAATCAGTATGATACTGAACAGCCTCCAAGATATGTGAATAATACACACTTGTCTTCAAGGGTAGGCAGGTTGAATTTGGATTGGATAGATCCCGATCAATCGTCTGAAAAGGAGAATGAAGCCTTTCAACGAGCAATGGAACTGGCGGGCAGCGAGTTTTTAAGTGTATGCCTTTCTTTTGTTAAGACTCAACAGAAATATGGAATATTCTCCTTACTTCTTCATTAATAAATTCACATTAACATTCTTATGCAATATATTTGTCTTGAATCGAGCACATAACCAAATAGAAGGGATTAAAGCTTTGTTGAGGTTGGGTGTTTTGGGGATTTATTTTAAGCATCCCTTTTTAATGGTCCTTTTTCCAATTTCAGAGTGTCCGTTTTCATGCAAAATCATGGTTACCAGCACGGTCTATTGTAATGGAGTGTCTCTTAGCAAGATGGAGTGTTGATCCTAGTGGAGAAATCATGGTTATGAATCGATTTTGCCCTGTAAGTATGCAACGGTGTATTATTTTTGCTAATTAAATACTCTTAGGTTTAAGTTTTCTCAAATCATTGTCTAATGCTATTAGTTTTACAATTTCTTCATTACATTCAACTGTTTGAGTGGTTTATATATATATTTTATTCCCTGCAGTGGAAACTTCATTTATTTGAACTTGAAGAGGAGATGAAGATTGAGCCGCCCATCAAATATGTTCTTTATCAGGTACCATTATCTATCTGGTGTCCATGCTCTCTTCTTTCTTAACATAATTTGGATAGTACTATTCACACACCCATTTTTTACCTCCCACACATCCTTGTTAATTTTTGGCCATTGATCTTCTTCAATTCATTCGATCCAACGGCCGAAAAGTGAGAGGAGTGAGTGATAAGTAAAAACGGGTGTGTGGATAGCACTACCCTATAATTTTTCCTTCCATTAATATGTGCGAAGTATGAATGCATTTAGGTGTTAGAAAGGAAATTCAGGAAATTCCTGCTCGTGATTTTATGATGCGCAAAGAAAATATTAGGAAACTGAGTCACAACATTGGATTTGGTACATGTTAAGAGAGTACTGACATTAGGAAACTTGTTTGCCTGTAAACAAGCAAGTTCTTTCCTTGCAAGTCCGAAATATTTTTAGCTTCTTTATAGAGCTATTGGAATCATTTGGAGCGTAGTGTATACTTGCATGGCTTTCTGGCCTCATTTCTAATGTATGATATCTCCCCATCATACCTAGAATAAAATTTGAATGTTTTCTGTGACCTTTACGTTCCATTTAGTTATGCAGCTAATAAGGTCTGCAATTTTTATCTGGAGAAGAGCCCTGATTTTGTTATCACAATAAAATGATATGCAGGATGATAGGAGCAAACACTGGAGAGTTCAGGCGGTGGCCGTTGCTCCTGAAAGTTTTGAGAGCCGAAAGGCTCTTGCATCAAAATGGCGGGGGCTTAGGGATGAGGAGCTCTCGAAGGAGGCTGGGATTCCCGGATGTGTTTTTGTTCACATGAGCGGATTTATCGGAGGAAATCAAACTTATGAAGGTGCTCTTGCCATGGCGAAAGCGAGTTTGAAGTTTGATTGAGCAGATTGACTTGCATTGGCGTGTTACTAATTCAGCTTACAAAATCTTGGGCATTGCAGCTACGTCTTGGCTAATTTCTCTTACTTTAGCCTATTTCTCATCGGGACCAATTTTGCTCATAACTGCGTTTTCTGATATTGTATTTGACGATAAATTTCCTTATTAAGTTGAATTAAGTAAACATTTTATTCAGCTATTACAGAATCAAAAACTGGTATATGGATTGTGGAAGACATTAATTGTATTGATGTTTCTCTGTCAATGACTTGGAAGATGCGGTTCTAGCTCCTGGTCGCTATGTGAAGGAACTTCCTAGCTCCACGCGACTAGCTCCTAGATCCACGCGACTAGCTGAATCCAGTTGAGCATATATATATGTATATATATATATGTATGTATCTGTTTAGCTTTTTATGGGTTACACAAAACTTAAACCCCAATTCCCGTCACCCGAAAAGACGGGAATAATTCCTAAAACGAGAAAGACTTTCATGAAACGAAGCAAACTACGGCCATTTAGCTAGATTACATACTCACAGACTCTTGAGTTGAGTACAGTTGAATACATGCTCGACGGTAAGAGAGCTCCAAGAGTCCAACATGCACGTGCACACGTGACAACCTCTCTTTTGCCACCCAAAATTAATCTGCGTCATGACACACAGCTCAGTAGCTCACGAGTCAGTGAAGTGAAAAGTTACAGCCTTCTCCCATTACCCAAAATCCCAACCGGCAACCATGGCCACACTGACTTACCCCGCCGCCGCCGCCACAGTCAGAGCCACCAAATCAACAACCCCACCAGGTCTCAGGAAAAGCTTCTCCGTCATCCCAATCAAACCCAATTCCATATCTCCACTCAAAACCCTAAACCGCACCTCCAAACCCACCACCTTCTCAATCAAATCCACCGCCTCCTCCGACCACTCCTCCACCGCCACAACCACAATCACCACCACCACCTCCATCTCCCCCTCCCCACTAACCCTCAAGTCCCGCCTCCAAAATGGCGATACCCTATACGGCCTCTTCCTCCTCTCCTTCTCCCCTACCCTCGCCGAGATTGCTGGCCTCTCCGGCTACGACTTCGTCGTCGTCGACATGGAGCACGGCCACGGTGGCATACCCGAAGCCCTCTCCTGCCTCCACGCCTTGGCCGCCACCCAAACCCCCGCCATTCTTCGCTTGCCCGAGACCTCCGCAACTTGGGCCAAGAAAGCCCTAGATCTGGGCCCACAAGGCATCATGTTCCCCATGATCGAATCCTCCAAGGCCGCCAAGGAGGCCGTCTCCTACTGCCGCTTCCCTCCCGCCGGCGTCCGCGGATCCGCCCATACCGTCGTTCGCGCCTCCAGCTACGGCATCGACGAGGGGTATTTGAGTAATTACGAGAACCAGCTGCTGATCATGTGCCAGGTGGAGAGCAAGGAGGGCGTGAAGCACGCGGAGGACATCGCGACCGTTGATGGGGTCGACTGTATTCAGATGGGACCGTTGGATCTGAGCGCCAGCTTGGGATACCTGTGGGACCCAGCGAACAAGAAGGTGAGGAAGATGATGGAGGTGGCCGAGAAGGCAGTGCTGGGGTCCGACCCGAAAGAGGGCGGGGCCTACTTGGCCGGGTTCGCTATGCCCCACGATGGGCCCCGCGATTTGGGGACACGTGGATACCACATGGTGTCCGGAGCCGTTGATGTTGGGCTGTTTAGGGGCGCGGCGGTGGAGGACGTGAAGAGGTTCAAGATGAGCTTGATGGACGGTTTAGATGATGAGCAGGAGGATGAGAAGGATGCTGATGAGAAGTACTGGAGTGAATGAAAAGGGAGGTTGTTGAAAACATATTTTTTTGTAAATTTTTCGTTTTCTTTTTCTTTTGTAGTTGTATTGGGCCCACGGATGTTTTCATAATAAAGGTCATATTATTATTGCCGGCCAAATTACATAATTAGAGCATTCCACTGAGAAGTGGATGGAAAAATAATGAATATAGTTCATTTTGGAGCTTCGAGAAATTTTTAGGGTTTTATAAAAGAATCTCTTCTAATGAGGGGTTATATCTTTCGAACTTTATATGAGGTTATATATTTCTTTTGTAGTGAACTGATTAAACGATGATTTTTTTGTTTGTGTTAGCTTTTCTTAAGTTGATTTTTGGACATGCTAACTTAATTTTTTTTATGAACCCTTCAACCTAAAAAGTTCAAATTGTGAAACAGTTAGATTTCATTACTAATGAATCTTTCGTTGGATTAGATTTCCTTATCTCAATCTCATTTGTTGAAAGAAGCAAATCCCCACTTTGCCTTCTGAAATAATTTGATTTTCATGTATAACACAACAACTTACCTAGCACCAATTGGTAAGTTAGTATCATACAATTTTGAAAAAAAAATTATTTGAAAATTTCACCCATGAATGGCTATGAACGTTAAATCAATTTGAAAATTTAATTCTTATGGAATGTAAAACAATCATTAATTAGCCAAATTGCAAAAAAAATAAGTAAGAAAAAAGAATTAAAAAAACTAATAAAAGGAGAGTATAAGTGTATTCGCAAGTGGAGGAGAGGGATAGAATTTTGCTCACATGTGTTGCTATTTTTTTTGTAGGACCCATTGGTTTTTTGGGCTAGATGTAGTTCAATTTTATGCTACCTAAGAAAGGAAGTTGCTAGTCCTAGTAGTTGATCTAACTTTATTTTCCAGCTCATTAAGGATGAAATTTCTCGTTAAGACTGAAAATGTGGTAACCTCATAAAGGACAAAGCCCCCATTAAAGATGCTCTTAGAAAGAGTGGATAGGAGGTAAAGAAGTATATTTTTTTTTATAAGGATCTTCGTACACTTATTTTCGTTCTACGCACTCTAATCAATCGGAATAAGCTTGGCAAATGTTGAAAACAAGGAGTTGAATGCCGACTCTTTCTAGGGATTAATTTTCCGCGACGAGTGGAATGCCGACTCTTTTTGGGTCAAAAACAAGGAGGCAGTAGGCAAAATGGAAAAAAACCGACCAAGTCAAAGAGAGGATGTTGACATGTTTACCACGAATAAGAAATGGCGTTGCAAGTGTTTGTCCATATAGTTGGCTTATATGCACTTAATCTCCTAGAACATATAGGTTGTGGAGCATTAAGAAATTTTATCTCCCAAATAAAGTGGATTATTGCATTTTAACCTTTTTCTTAATTATGTGCACCCTGCCTAATGCACTATCTTGCTCTTGCTAATTACCATACCAATTTGTCAACTTAAAGATTTAGTTTGTATGTGGATGTTTTCTTGAGGGAATTTGGAATTGGAATGATAAGTTTGTAACAAATTTTTAATTTACTTTTAGTAATTTTATATGTATTACATTTGGTTGTTATGTTGTTGAAGCATTTTTTGAAATTGAGACGTGAATTTTAAATTTGTAAAAGATGCAACCACAATAGTGCAGTTAATAAATATCAATCACATGTGAGAATGAATTTTAGCTGTTAATACACCTACGTAAACCACTTGAATTAACAACTAAAATCAACTCATGTGCACATAAACAACTAATATAAGAAACGACTTAAGTTAAAACTATCTTATATCTTGGGCTTCAAATTTAGATTTTTTTAAGCCAAAATGATTACTAAGATTGACATAACTCCTTATTTTGGTTCATGAGAATTGAGAATATTTTTATCATTTTGGTCCTTGTTTAATAGAATTTTTCATGGACTGACACAAAATGATCGATGGTGGACAACTTAGGGACTACTTTTATTGGTATCAAATCTAAGGACCAAAGTGATGAGTTATGCTAATTTTAAAGATCATTTTGGTTAAAAAGCTCAAATTTACTTTTTTTTTTTTTAATAAGCGATATTATTTACACTCGAAATGCAGAGAGATTAATATCATAATAGACTAATAATAATGTAATTTAACAAAAAAATATTACCGCATCGTAGAACTAATAGTAAATTCCCCTCCCCCCCGGTTTAAGAAAAGAGAGGAAGCGGAAAAGGGAAAAGAAAGGAAAAGAAAAGAAATAGAAAACATAGTAGATACAGTCAACAAACCCATCGGATCAAAACCGGTGTGAGATTTGCGGGAATTGGATTCCCCGGGAAATCTTGAACCCCTTTTTTCAATTCAACAAATCGCATTCCCACCACCTAAACTTCGCATTCCACTCCACGTCCGTTTCACAGTTGGTACCCGGTCCTTTATAAGCTTCTCAACTACTCAACACTCCCTCCCACTCGCTCCACCCCCTCTTTCTCTCATCGATTCCCTTTTGTTTTCTGGGTTTTAGAGAGAGACTGAGAGCTCGCAGCAGCAGCAGCAGCAATGGAGTTGTTCTACATCCTTCTGTTCGGGGGAATGGCAGCGGTGGTGGCAGCTCTCGAGCTGAGCAAGAACAACAAAGATCGCATTCATACCACCTCTGCTTTCAATGCCTTCAAGAACAATTACCTCCTCATATACTCTCTCATGATGGGTACGTCCGGATCTACCATTTTTTCGTCTTTTTTCATTTGGGTTTTTTTTTTTTAGATTTGAATGTTTGGATCGAATTTGCTGTTTTTTGATTGCGTGGTGGAGTGATGTGAAAACCCAATTGGACTAAAATTGTGGATTCCACAATTTACGCTTGGAGTGGTGATTTGTGTATTTGGCTGTGCTGTTTCTGAATCTTTTGCTTGCAGTGGACTTCATTTTGGATCGAATTTGTCTTTGAAATTTTGATTCCATTGTGAAGTGATAGGAAAACCCAATTGGACTGAAATTAGAGATTCTTCTACAATTTACAGTGTCTTGATTCGATAGCAAAGTGATATGAAAACCCTTATCATTCTTAATTTTACAATTTGTGTACTTCTTTATACCGTGGTTTCGGGATCTTTTGCTTGTAGTGGACTTCATTGCATTGATTATGGTAACATTAACCTTTTTGGTCTCAAGAGTATTGTTTTCCTTGAAAATTGCTTGTAATTGAAGTAGCTTGATGCTTAACATTGGGATTTATTCTAGATATGTTGTATCATTTCTGGATCTGATCGAATTGGTTGTGGGGTATAGCCGGTGATTGGTTGCAGGGTCCATATGTTTACTATCTATACAGCCAGTATGGGTTCAGCAAGGGGGACATTGGACAACTTTTTATTGCTGGCTTTGGATCATCCATGTTGTTCGGGACAGTTGTTGGATCTCTAGCTGACAAACAGTAAGAGGTTTCCTTGTCGATTAGCTTTATTTCCCTTAACATGATCACATTATTGATTCTGAATAATGATATGTCAAATCCAGGGGTCGGAAGAGGGCATGTATTACGTACTGCATAACTTACATTCTAAGCTGCTTCACCAAACATTTTCCCGACTATAAGGTTTTATTGTTGGGACGCATATTGGGAGGCATTGCTACTTCTCTACTTTTTTCAGCTTTTGAGTCTTGGCTTGTGGCGGAACATAATAAGGTGCGACAACTGCTCAGCTAATTAATTGCAATTCTGGAGATTGTATTTGTGAAAGTCTCCAATATGTAGTTACTGTGACAAATTTGTCAATGAATATATCATTCTTTTGATATTATGGACTTCGCACTTATGTGCATTGTTTTTATATGGCACGGCCCAGGAGGTGTAAGTTGGATTGGGTCCATAGGGCTCAATTCAAGTCATCTTTTTTTGTTACTTAGACATTGTGTCATAAAAGTAAATTTCATTCACTTCAATTGCTTAATTTTTGCAGAGGGGCTTCGAGCAACAGTGGCTTTCATTGACATTCTCTAAGGCTGTATTTCTTGGAAATGGTCTAATTGCTATAGTAGCTGGGTTGCTTGGGAATCTTCTGGTAGATACTCTGGGATTTGGCCCCGTTTCTCCATTTGATGCTGCTGCATGCTTTTTGGCAATTGGCATGGCAATTATAATGGTATCATGGGGTGAAAATTATGGAGATGATACAGAAAACAAGAACTTACTTACGCAGTTCAGGGGTGCTGCCATAGCCATCGCTTCCGGTGAATCCCTGATTTTATCTCTTTTGATACTTACTCCTTTTTCATTAGTGGTTAATTCCATCATTGACTTTCATAATATTAGACTTTAACCTTATTCTTCTACATTTCTCATAAATTCTTTTTCTATTATTTTCTGTTGGAGCAGATGAGAAAATTGCTTTGCTGGGTGCCATACAGTCCCTATTTGAAGGCTCAATGTACACCTTTGTATTCCTCTGGACTCCTGCTTTGAGCCCAAATGATGAGGAGATTCCACACGGTTTCATTTTTGCAACATTCATGCTAGCCTCGATGTTGGGAAGCTCTTTAGCGTCTCGGCTGATGGCAGGTTCATCCCTAAGAGTTGAGAGCTACATGCAGATTGTATTTGCAGTCTCTGCGGCTTCCCTTCTGCTTCCCATTGTGACAAGCGTATGTCATGAATTTTAATTTATCAATTTTCTTCAAATTTATGAATTTTAGTTTCTTTGAACCACGGACATCAACTTGTCTATGAATTTTTGCAGTTCTTGATTGCACCTTCCGATGTGAAAGGTGGGAGCATGTCATTATCAGGGTATTGTCAGCTTGTTGGCTTCTGCACATTTGAGGCCTGTGTGGGAATATTCTGGCCATCTATCATGAAAATGAGGTCCCAATACATCCCAGAGGAGGCGAGAAGCACCATCATGAACTTCTTCCGCATTCCTCTCAACATCTTTGTGTGTGTTGTGCTGTACAATGTGAGTGATTTGGTTGCATTTGCTCATGATTCCTTGGGACTCCACCAATCAGAAATTGCTCTTTTTATGAAAACAAAAATTTCACGAGCATCCTTGAATGGTTTCTGCCTCTCATAGGTATACAAAAAATTATATTTGCACTTTTTTCCCCGTATCTAAATATTTGGTTTCCTTGTAGGTTAATGCATTTCCCATCACCATCATGTTTGGTATGTGCTCGATTTTCCTTTCTATGGCTGCTGTATTGCAGAGGCGGCTCATGGTGATTTCTGATGGCCACAAGTCAAGTGAGTTCTGCAGTAGTCAACACATATTCCGATTTAATTAATATGTTCGAATCTTTGTATTCCCTTCCTTTTTTCTGTGGGTTCCTTACGGTGTTCATTACTAATGAAATATGTTTATGTTTCATTACAGAACCAGAAGAATGGACAATGCAGGAGAGGGACACAGAAGCGGAGCCATTAAACGACTAATTGGAAGATGAAAATAACAACAATAAAGGAAAAAAGAAGAAAAAGGAAAAGATGTCTGCAATTTTTTGGTGCTGAAAACAACCTACTGTAATTTGGATTTTCAAGCTGTATATCTTGGTTTTCTGTTTGCCGTCTGATCAATGAGGAAAATCCCGTTTGATTCCTACTTCGAAACGAGGTATGGAGGATTTTCAGGGGGCAATCAGCTGGTGGTTACAGCACAAAGAAATGACTAACAACTCTAGTTACTATGTGTAGTTCATGTATTCTCCAATTATGGTAGACTGGTGCTTTATCAGGTATATTTTGTCATATGAATGGTAGAAAATGTAAGGACACATGCAAGTTTTTATTGTCCCCTTATTTTTTTTTATTGTTTTTTGTTTCTATTAGAAATACTTGGAGGTAGCATATACTTGTTACATTTCTATTCTTCCTTCTTTGATACACCTATGAAATATGAGATCGCATCTAGTTTTTTCTTCAATCAAACAATTGTCGTCTTTGAAATTTGAACTCAGGCGGATGCTAACATTGACAAGAGGCTTTGCAGTTCGGTGTTGATTAAGAGTATTCTCCTTCGTATTAAGTTTCGAGTTCGAAATCCCCCTTCCTAGTATAAGAAAAAAAGAATCTTGACGTTGTAGTGTTCTTTTGCATTTCAAAATTTGAAAATGTTGGACATTGAAGTCTTGAATTTATGAGAATCTGAACTCCATAAAGCCAACAGAGAGAATGTTCACATTGTTTTCTTAATTGGAGAGTCAATATAGGAATTAAATTATAGTCACCATTAAATGGAAAGCTCCGAGAGAGGGCACTTTAAATATCAACTTTGATGGCTCAGTGACTAGAGGTTCAGCTGTTGGAGGATTTGTTATTCGAGATTCTGTTGGAAGGCCAATTGTTGCTGGAACTCCAAGATGGTTATAGATGAGATTCTCGACCAATGCAAGATCTCTTGGAGGCACAGAATTATATTCGAGGGCATCAAATGGCTGGCGACCTCTTTTGATTCTATTCAGTGGCAATATGTTATAGAGAAGCCAACTCTCTAGCCGATGCTATTACATCTATTGTTCACAGTATTGCCAAGTGTTTGTATATGACTGTATGGACTCCCAAGTGTTCTCAGGGATTCTCATTTTCTTAATGAAGTTTATTTCCAAGCAAAATAATAATAATAATAATAATATTCTTGAATTATTATTGGGCAATGAAAAAGCTTTTGATATAAATTTTTTATTTATTTATTTTTTATAGATTGACTATAATTTACTAAGACAATTTCAAGTAGATGGGGACTAACTGCAATACTTACATGCATTCAATACAATCATCAATTGACGGTTAAATTATAATTTATCTTAATATATGTATTTAATACAATAACAATCTGACATCGAGACGATGATATTATTAAATATAAATAAGTATTGCAGCCAAATCTAAGTAGTCGTGACCCCTAAGTGGCCTCTGGCTGTGACTGAATCTAGAAGACAAACACTCCATGTGGAATAGAGACAGGCTCTCATGCTACTTCATTTGTGCTCCACATGATCCAATCATCCAATTACAACTCATTTTATCTTCCCGATCATATTAAAATGAAAATTCTTAATCCCATATGGTGTTGAATCCATAGATCACCACCCCTACTTGCCCATGTGAAATTATTGGCCATATGATGTTGGTTTTCCAATTTCATCATATCAACAAACTTTCCCAACTTGCCCATGTGAAATTATTGGCCATATGATGTTGGTTTTCCAATTTCATCCTATCAACAAACTTTGGAGCCAATTACTCACTGTTAAGTATCAAATTTAAAACGTTGATAATGCGTGATCAGCTTGAGATATCATATAATAATATTCTGTGTAAATTACTCTCCTAACTGACAATCTCTTCATTATGTTACCACTTACCAAGAACAAACCAACCTTTCCCATGATCTACAAGTATGAGAGAGACTTCATTGCTATTATGGCGTTTCAAACCTCATATACAAAATTTATGTGTAAGACACTTTCTACATGATCTTGTATTAGTGACTTGAGATTCAACGGTGGGGGTGGTTGTCTCACCTAAATCCTTCTCTTACATATCTTCCATTATTTTTTTAGGAAAATTAATGAAAATGATTTGAAAACTTTGAGTTTTAATCAAAAGAACAAAAAAGGTGTTGTAAGTGAATAGTATCAGAAAACGCTTTTTAGAATAAAAATGTCATTTTCTCTAAAAGTGAACAATACCGTTAAAACTTTTTTCTTTTTCATCTAATTCGATAGTCAGAAATAAATAAATGTATGTGAAAAAAAGGGTGTGGAAATACCTTTTATATCCTTTTGATGCCCCTTATGAGATGCGGCTGGTTTGACATTTACTCTTTTGACCATCTCTAAAAAGATGTAAACCATCTACATCATATAAATTTGCCCAATCGCCCACATACCAAGGGGCATTTGGTAATTCTGCCTTCAGGCTATCTGTCTGCAGACACCCTCAGAGCCAATAAGATTTGCCCCTCCAGTGACTAATTCTTAAAACTCTCACTCCTAAATTCAAGAATAAACCTCTCAAGTTAGAGAGAGAGAGAGGGGGAGGGGTTAGAGAGAGAGATGGCTAACCTCAGAACTCCAAGATTGCACTTCCTATTGGCTCTGCAGTTCCTCATGTTAATTCAGTCCCAAGTGCTCTGCTACCAGTACAAAGTAGGAGATCTAGATTCTTGGGGAATACCAACTTCTGCAAATCCACAGGTCTACACCAAATGGTCAAAATACCATCAATTCAAGCTTGGAGATTCTCTTTGTAAGTTTCTTCTTCCTCTTTTCTCCTTTCCAAACAACAGATGTCGGTTAGGTCAGTTCGCATGTTGTAGTATGGCCGTTTCATTGCATCCCATTTCAAATAGCCCTTCTAATAATACATCGCAGTTTAGAATATCACATTATCAAACAAATCACTAAAAGAACAAAAGGGAGACTAAATCGATTCATTTCCCTCGTGTGAGGGCAAGAACAATGTCCCGGCCCCATTGCAAGAAGTTTGAATAATTTAGAGCAGTTTAGAACGTTGCCTTTCTCATTTCTTTCTTCGATATGCAGTGTTTTTGTACCCACCAAGCCAAGACTCGGTGATTCAAGTGACAGCACAATCCTATGGCAGCTGCAACCTCAAAGATCCAATCTTGTACATGAACGACGGCAACTCTCTCTTCAATTTCACCACATTGGGGGATTTCTACTTCACCAGCGGCGAACCGGGCCATTGCGAAAAGAACCAGAAGCTCCACATTTCCTTTCTGTCTGGCAATGGCTCTGCTGACTCTCCTTCCTCTGGCCCTAGTTCATTGGATGCTTCTGCTCCTTCTTACCCCACCGTCTTTGGCACCATCCCGGCTCCGCCTTCTTCTTCTTCTCCGTCACAAAGGTTTCCAGTTTTCGCAGCGGCCATTGTTGGATTTGTGGTGTTCGCACTTTTCAGTGGCAATATGTGAAGACCCTTAACATTCATGAGTTGAATTTTCTCCTCACATTTGGATGGTGATTCTTTTTTTACTTCTATTTTTTTCTTTTTCCCGTTAATATTGGTTCTGTAATATGGAAGTTTTGGTTTTGTAATTCTTTTTGTTAATTCAACAGAATAAAGAAAATTCCTTATGTGATGTTTGGTGTTCTTGTTCTTAGATTCTTTTGATGAAATTCCTAATTTTTGAAACAGCGTAAATAGAGAAATAAACATATAATCGTATTTTGATATTTATATACAATTCCTGATAGGTCTCGATTGAAAGGGCTTTAACCTCAACCAGAAAGTTATAAAGTACTTTTTTCTGGTGTCGAGAAAGATCACATGGGTTTCCTCACATGTGACAAGTCAAAGAGAGAAAAGTTAAGGAAATTTTCTCAAAATTGCACAATTTATAAACTTTCTGCCGCCTCGCAGTTTAACGATAATTTTTATTCTAATATTATAAACTATTATGCCAAATGCATGAAATGTCAGAAAATCTATGAAGAATTCCACGTTTAGAGAATCTTCTTACCATTTCACTCTTTTAACAGAACACCGCCGGGCAATGATGGTGGTGAGCAGGTCTAATTGTTTGTACAATTATTAGGTTTCCAGCTGGATGTGGGTTGCCTTGCCTGCCCGCGACGGTGTGACAACAATGTCTCATCTCCCTCTTACGTGGGTCACCAATCAAAACTATGCAGCATATCATAGATTCAAAATAAATAAAATATCTCACAAATGAGAAAATTTTGTCGCTGATTTGATTTTTAAAATAATGTTTTATATGACGCCGGTATATTGGCAAAGTGATTTCATATGCTAATAATACAATGATATAAAATAAAATTGTTCTTTTTCATGTGTCTTTATTTTATTGACTCGATAGTCACTATGCTATACAAGCAAGCTCCCCATTTTTTCGATTTTCGTAACGCTAAGATTGAAAGGGACCCAACAACTGAAACTCAAAATCTTGAATGTAACAAACAATTGAAAGGACAAAGTTAGGGATAATGAAAATCCAAGGAACATAATAGACAAAGAATAAGGGTGATTTTATCCACCAAACGCTTTTTAATTTTTGATTGTTGAATTGAATGAATAAATGCTAAAGAATAAAGAGAGCTTTAACGAAAAACTCTCGATACTGTTCACTTTTAAGAAAAACCAAATTTTTACATTAAAAAAATCAATCATAATACTATTCACTTATCTTTTATTTTGTCCTTATTGTTAAAACTCAAAGTTTTCAAGTTACTTTCATTAGTTTTTCTAGAATAAATGATAAAAATGATTAACCATATAAGCTGACACGACAAATTCATTCCAAAAACCATATTTTGATGGTGCCTCAACAATATCAATTGTACTTAAGCTGTTAACTGATTATAGTCGGTGATACCATCACTATTACCATCGCTATTACTGAACTGTAAATGAGATTTTCACCTCATAGGGCTCCTTGAAGGCCGAAAATAAATATGTTTGCAGTAACTGTAAAACATAGCATGCTCGATTCTATATGGCACAGAAGTACACTATTAAACCCTCGTTATACCACTGTTTTTTCTTAACTAAGAAGAGGTGAACACATCTGACAGAATCGATGACGATCATGGAGTCCCTTTCAAGCTCATTACATTACTATCGTAATCCGGGCAAGGGCCGGGCAGGACTTCCTCTCAACATCTCAGTACAAATGTACCAGACAACGGAGTGCTGTTTCGGTTGAGTAACTGCGATGAATCTAACGGTTAATTAACCGACCATTTCAACATCCATTGGTGAAGGCTTAACTTCAGAAGCAGCATAGGGGGCCTCCGGAGCTGCAGTTTCTGAAAATGGACTCCGCATTTGGGCAGCAGTAGAGTCGACTTCCATAGCAGATGGTCTGGGTGGGGAAGCGGGCTGCACCTCCACATCTGGATAAGCAGCCTTGAATCGTGCACGCAGGCCTTCATCAACCAATCGTACACCACTCAGTTGATTACCTAGTGACATCCACCTGATACAAGATAGTTTCGAATAAAGTTAAAAAAAACATAAAGCCATAACCAAGATGGTAGCAAAATAAACACATACTCATATTGGTTGTCTATCTGCAACGCAAGTGGAGGGTTAGAAAGCTTGATTTTCAAGTAAAGCCCCACAGACAACAAGGAATAAACAATGGTAAACGCATTATAACTATCGGAAAGAGATACAATGGCATCTACCCTCATTACCATGATACCCGACTTTGAGTTGCACAATCAAAAACCTTTAACCTACAGAAACCTAAGACAGTACTATATTCAAATTGTCACCGTTTGTCACAGGATACTCTGCTACCTTGATTATCAGTTTATGCCAAAATCGCTACTCACTACATTGGTAATCAACAACAACGAAGGACCACTTTAAACAATTACAATCGTTAGTACAAAAATCATACCCTGCATGAGTATTGTGCATGCGAGCAAACAGTTCCAGTTTTCTTGTCCTTGGACTTACCCTCTCCAACAAAGGGTACATCTGCAGGAATGCACGTATATTTAGTCAAATTTGAATTCTTGAGAAAAAAAATAAAGAAATAATAATACAATAAAGACGATAATTAAGACAAAACTCTCTAGCAGAAGGCAGTAACTTCTGGACAACCACCTCTTAAATTGTAAGGGAAATGTACAATTATAATATTGTTCGTCCTGTAAGCGAATTGGGGTGAACTATATTTCAATAGGTATTTCACTGCAGAATTATATGATGCATATTCCACTAACCTCATCTGGCTTGCGGCTTGTCTCTCTGACCTCAGCAACAATGACATCAGTATCAATATTTCTATTTACTAATGGTTCCCCCTTTATTCCAACAAGACAATGCTCCTTGCTATGATTAAGCCAGTGGCCAGTCCGCCCTGTTCTAATTATTCGTTGAAGTTGATTAGTCTTTACCCAAATTATCTCCTCGATACGCTTGTATCCCCAAAATTCTAAACTGCAAGAACAGTGATATTTCTGTGAGCGAAAGACAAAGAATAAGCAGATACAACTAAGCATATTTGATTATATGTTTCAGGAAACATATAGTTGACAGATGGCCAAAGCATACACATACCATTCACGCCCAAGCTCCATTGCACGTCCAGTGACCCAAAGGAAAATTAGACCATCAGTCTGCAATGCCGGAACATTAAGATTGCGCATTTCATCATCAGCCATTGTCCCATAAGGCAATTCCATATGAATGTCCCATGGTGGATCTGCCATTATCACTCCAAATTGCCCTAGAATGTCCATTCTAAAGTTGCGTATATCACAGTTAATCCACTGTGGTTGACCAAGTTCAACCTCAGAACAGTATTCAGCACGTTGAGGCCTTAATTGTCTAGGTGGAGCGAGTGCTGGAGGCCCCATCATCATGTGTGACACATCAGGTGTTGGATCAAGCTCATAGTGGACATACTTGCATGTCTAACAATGGAGACAAAAAAGTGCATTACTTTATGAAATCCAGTCATTAGCATATAGTTAGTTTATCACTCAAGTAATGGGGGTAACCTTTACCTTCATGTGACGACAAGTATCTAGAAAAGAACAGTCTCCTAAATTGACATCGGTATGTAGAGCGATTATTCGCCTAAAATGAACCTGAAAGAAGAGAGAATAAAATTCAATGTGAAGAACCAAAATAGTTGTAAGTACTAAGATCAAAGTTATTGGGGATTAGTAGGGATATCTTTTCTTCATGAATATCCTTCAACTTTAACATAATATGAAAGGTTGTCATCCATTTCTTCCTTCAAAATGCCTTAAATATAGTGAATAGTCTTATCCAAGCCAATCCTCTGTAACAAACGAGGCCTTAGAGTAGATGCAAGCTCTAAATTGAAATTGCACAACAAGAAAAAAATGATAAGCAAGAGGCAGCATTCTGATTGTAACTAATTTCAGGAATTAAGGAATCATGATCAAATGCATGTTTTGTGCTTTACGAACAGGTAACTGACTATATCTTACCGACCTTCTCACATGCATGCATGGAATTAGACTGACGACAGCAGTCCTCTTTTGTTAAGGATGAGCAGTATTCCTTCAACTGTGAACCACCTTTAGTTTTGAACTGAAACAAAAAAGTACATTAACTGACATCAGCCTTTCCTGCTGGTGCAACTAGTCCCATACAAAATATAAAACCAGAAATATTCGACACATTACAAAGTTGAAAGCTTGAGCGTTTTTTAGGTGCAAGCAATGATTCCATGAAATAATTGACTTGCAGGTGTAACATACAGAACAAACTGTAAGCAAAATTATATGTTCTGGACAAGTCACCACAAGCTGCCTACTCATGATTACAGAACCCAAAATCATTATTTTGGTGCTACTGGTCAATAAGTAAAGAAGAGAATACAAAATACGAAAAATACCATATTAATACTTATTCATCACATTAATACACTTATTAGGCATAAAATCACATATGGCCCACATGTTTATGAGTAATTTTCCACATGATATGTAACACCGTCATGTGGTGTTACAATCAACCTGTGTCATAACACAAACCCATCGCCTCCACATGTTACGGTGCTAGATTAGTAAGACCAGGTGGTTAAGACATTGCTGTAGATACAAAAGTTTCTCGTGGTTTACCATACATGACAATGTAAGTTTTTATAAAATTGTTAATATAACTGTAGTGGTCTACAGAAGTTACCAATTTAGTTGAACCTCCTAATTCAAGTTTTAGAACAGATCATCCAACACACGCATCATGTGCATAAGCATTATGGTCGTTTCACACCCATTTTACTACTCACAAATGGTTCATGTGGATGGTAATATATGTCGTGAGTCTCTTTGAGACAAATTGAACAGATGATAAGTCATATGGTTTCAATTTGTTAACAATACCCTTGTGGTCTATGCCAACCACCAATTTTAGTCAAATCTCCAATTTTGTTTACATTACACATTGACGGAAATTGGAGATTTTACTAAAACCGGTAATGGACGTAGACCAAAAGGGCAATGTTATAAAATAGGACTTACCCATAAACCTTCACTTATAGAGTAAACTACATGACCATTTGAAACCTTCAGCCTACTCATTGTTTAGTTAACAGACAGGTAATAGTTTTTACACATAGCAGATTTCCAGGTTTGATCGAGTAGTCTTTGACAGATAAAACCATTAATATATTAAGATAGCAATACAAATAAAAACATTGACATTGACAAACCTTGGCAGCTACAGCAGTCTCCTTCGCAGTTGGCCGGTGAATGAGGTCCAAAATCTCTTCACCAGTTTTTGACTTCTGCAACTCCCTAAAAGTCTTCTTATTCAACAGTGCCTCAACATCCTTCAGTTCCTCCTCTTCACTCCGCGGCTTATGTAACATCGAATTGGGGCTATCCATTGTTGCATTTGGCCCCATACTATTACCTCTATGCATTGGAGGAACACCACCCATCCCTCTAGGCATTCCCATCATGCCCATAACTCTAGGATTAGGAGCACCCCTTGGACCCATAAATGAACCCGGCTGTCCACTCCCAGGGAACATAGGCGGAAAACTGGCCATATGAGCATCATTAGGGTTCATCCACATGTCCTGCATTGGCCTTGAACTAGGGCCTCCCATCCCAAACACTCCACCTCCATTACCATCGCTGCCGCTAGTCACCACTTGCTGCTGATTCTGACTCAAACTCCCATTCTCAACTCCTGAATTCAAATCTCGGCTATGAAACTGCTTGCTTTCTGGCAATTCCTTCATCAGCCGAGTCCGGTCAATCCCCAAAACGACAACCCTCGACTTACCACCCACCACAAACTCCAACTCCACACCGCCGTTCTCCTCCGCCATTGACCTCAACGCCATCTCCACCGCCAATATCGCCCCGGACTCTCCTCCCATCTCGCGCAAGGCTGCCTTCTCCTCCTCAGTCGCTTTCTGGTCGCCCTCAAGCTTCCTCAACACTGCTGACGAGTCAATTCGCGAAAAGGGCACTATTTCAAGTAAGCAAACCGCCACCATAGCCCGAACCAGAGATAACGGGTTCCCCATCTCATCAATGGGGCTGAATTTCTCCGGTTCTGCTTGGGGGGTCGGCTCCGAATTCTCCGGTTTCAAAGAAAGCTTCGGGCTTTGGTCAATTGGGTTAGTGGGTTTCGGCTCAGGGGACGGGAGGCGGCTGCGGTGGGGTTCTGGGGTCGAAGGGAGAGTGGGTTCGATCGGCTTTCTGGGGTTTGGTTTGGGGACGGGAAGAGGAGGCGTGGGAGTAAAAGGGCGGTCGTTGAAGGCGGAGAGAACCTTGAGAGAGAGATCAATGGTGGGGACGATGGTGGGGCCGATTTGGGATTGGAGGTAAGAGAGGAGTTCGAGCTGGGTGGTGCGTTGAGACTCTATTCGAGCTTCGAGCTGTTGAGCCATGGTTCGGATGCTGGCCATGGATTGGCCTCCTCCGCCTTCCGATTGGGTCTCCATTGCTGCTGGTGCTGGTGCTGGTGCTATGGATTTGTTGTGGTTTTCTCTGTGCGAGCGACTGAGATTTGAGTGAGGTTTTAGAAGATGAAGCAGCCAAAGCAAACTAACGTATCCCCGTCTCTTGGAATAGCGGAGGGTTTTTGTATTGGCGAGGCCGGGCCAATTGGGCTCATTCATCTGGGCCGAGGGTTGGACCTTGCTTTCAAATTTAGGCCATCGGGCCCGGTCAGCCCACTTAGTCCGACAGGACTAATGTGTCTGCTGACGTGGCTAACCATGTTGTAAACTTGATTTAAGTCTAATTTTATGAGTCATTATTGAGTTACGTCCATTTACTGATTATCTACATCATCATTTTTTTTAAATTACTCTTTTGATAAATTCTGATAATTGTCATCCTTATTTATAAGTTATCTTTTATTCAAATTTAGAATTAAATATATTTTTTTTATCCCTTTTACTGCTCCTAATTCGTATCTCAATTTTTTCTTCCAGCTCCATCACAAGTTAGTTGTGTTAACTTAAGCTAAATTGTGTCACTTAGTACTATGGTCTAGTGGTATTCTTCTTCACTCGTAAGTGAGAGGTCCTAAGTTTTATTCTCGCCAAAGGAGAATTCGAACCACATTATTACTACTCTATTATGAGGCTTAGCCCACTCCTCATTTTTAGCGTAGATAATATCGTTTGTTAAAAAAAAAAAAAAAAAAAAAAAAACAAACAAAGCTACGTTGTAGGTCTATTATATATCAACATATAGAGTCATCTGAATTTTTGAACATATGGAAGATGAAATTTCTTAGAACTATTTTTATGGATGATACGTAAATTAATTTTTTATTTATTTTCAAAGATACTTATATCACAGGTTACATGTACATATTTGAAATTTTTTAAACTAGTTTCGTGAAAGTGGTTATATTTTCATATTTAAATATTCAAATAAAATTTTTAAGTAAATATGCATAAATCAAGGAATTTAATTAAAGTTGAAAAATAAAAAAACTCGAATAAATTCAAAAATAGCTTAAATTTTTGCACTTGAATCAAAGTGTTTTTAGGTAATTACGGAGCCAACTCATTCTAAGTGATGTATCAAACAAACACACAGTAATTTTCACACACCACCTCATAAGATGATTTATAAAATGTCAAATTTTGCTTGTTAATAGGAATCAGCTCAACTAGACGGATGATCGTGCATTTTATTTTCACAAGGAACCTGAACTCTACTTTTGTATTTTGGGGGTGTGATATCCACACATCCCTTTTTACTTCTTCCACACTTTTTTAGTTTTTGACCGTCGGATCGGATGAATTGAAGAAGATTAACGGACATAAATTAACAAGAGGTGTGTGAGAAGTAAAAAAGGATGTGTGGATAGCACCCCTTGTATTTATACACAATCAGATCTTACGTAACTAAGACTCTGAACACATCGTTTCGTCCTTTTTTACAAATCAGGAATATAAACAATCGATTAAAATTATTGATCATTTTCTATCCAACTGATGCAATTATTTAAGAAAGAAACAAAAATGACTTATATATACAATTTACAATTTCTTTTATGTGTAAATAGGGCAACCCTCCACAACCACTCCCTTGGCCGTAGGGCAAGTAGCCAGGGGACAACCATCAAGGTCATTCCCCCACCAGCTAAGACTAATGTCCTCCAACCCCAAACTAAAATACAAAAGTACCCCCATGAAGGCAAGTCCTGCGTCAAGTGCCCCAGATAGAACATAATTGTGCCGCTTCCACCAATTTGGCCTATACCTATACACTACAAAACCAGACAAAAACCCTAAAATGATCCAAGAAGTGTAGTTCACCGCCGTAGCTGGTGGCATTGAGCTTGTCGCTCCCATGAGGACCGGCATGTTGATGAGCCCAATCCACTCTTGTCGTGGGAAGGCCTTAACAGCTAGCCATACAAAAATGGGGGCAATTGCACCAACTAGGAAGAACCAGTTGACTGCCTCATACCTGCCTAAGTCACCAAATATTCTTCTAGGACCAATCAATCCCCATATGACTGAGGCATCATAAAACACTGTGTCGCCCGGGCAAGTCCACACTGATGTCGTGTCCTCACATATGTCTGGGATGGTTTCCATTAGCCACCAAGCTGTGCTTAAGTAGACTATGGCTGCTATTAGGGTTCCCACAACCTAAGAGGTGAAAGGGTACATTAGGGAAAATGTTTAGGTCAACCGACGTATATATATCCACATGTTTTTTTATCTCTCGTTATGTGAATGTGATCTTATCATGTGATGAGAGATATAGAAACATGATAATATAACTTCGGTTGCATGATAGAATCTCTCGTAAATTTGGACTAGAAAATGTACCTGAGCCATGAACATAGTTCTTGGAGGAATTTTCATGTAATGGCCAAGCTTGAAGTCTTGCAAAAATGTGACGGCTTGTGACATACTTATGTAGCCATAAACCTTGAAGCACATATTAGCAACTGGGTATCCTGGGTAGATGTACCCAATTATGTATTCAGTAATGACGTTCAAACCTGGTCCCTGCCATAGAAATGCATAATAAAAGGTGATCTTAATGAAGAAACCAAAACAACCAAAATTTGAATGTAAAATTATTAGCTTTTAAAAGTATTAACCACTCGAAGAGGGGGGTTTGAGCACTGCTCGACGATGTTAAAGTACAACTAAAAGGGAGTTGAAGTATTACCTAAACAAGTGTTCGAGTGGTTATATTTCTCGATTCTAAAGTAGGTTCGAATGAAAATATTAGCTAGAATAAGTGTCAAAATAGGTACCTGATTTGTAATGGCAGTGATAATCCCAATTGGGAGGGTGAAGAAAATGGCAATACCACAAGCTAGTAAAACCCCCCACCAAGGCAACTGAAGTTGGTCATTGTAATATTGGCAGGTAAATATAGTGAGTGCAATGTTGGCCAAAAGTATGACTACAAACCACCACTCAGGCACTTGGTTGTACCTCTGCATCAACCTTGTGTGTATGTCCATTTTCTTCTCCTTGAAACTTGCTTTGCTTTGCTCCCATATTTCCCTACATACCATATAGCCAAAGAATGAGCTTCAAAACCCTACATACCTGTCATTGAATGTATACTATCAATGTATACTATGTATAAATTTGTCTCATCACGTGACTAGTCATACGCTCAGCGAGATACACACATAAATGTAAACAACTGACTGCTAGTTAAAACGCATTGCTTGTGAAATTTGACTTGCTACCTTCCATGAAATAGAGCAACATGTACAATTGTGGCGGTAAGTGCAGCAAAGCTAACACCGTAAGTTATGGTGAAAATTATGCTAATGTAAAGATGACCTTCCTGTTCGTAGGCATCATAATCAAGGTGGAAATTGGAGTCGATGATGGCTGTTATGTTGTATTCTTGACCATCCGATGTGAACATTGAGTTCGAGAAAATAGGGAAGGTTTTGGCTTTGTAGATATTGAACCAGTAAGAAAGGGGAGTCAATATGTACATGACAAAGAAGAAACCAGCAGCCACGTTGGCTGTGGCAAACCATGGGCTTGCTAGTGGGCTTCCAAGATAGGCGGAGATGGTTGACCAGTCAACCCCAACAGCTCCAATTCCAAGCCCATGAAGACCTGAGCCGAGCTGTTGGGCCAAGACATTGGTGGGGAAAATCCAACATATCCATGAGAGGGAGGTTAGCATCTGAAAGAGGTAGCCTGGGAAAACATAGTAGGCAAAGCTGCACATGAATGCTATTAGGAAGAACTGTGTACGTGTCAACCCACCCTTGTGCCTTACTTCTTTCTCATGGAGAGCCCTGTGGCATGAAGATTTTCTCAAATGTTAGTCAATCAATAATGTGTGGCATGGGTGTGATATGCAATTATTTTGCTTTAGTAATGAGATTTAAAGTGAAATGATGCATGAACAAATGAAATTATTGCAATTTGCTCATCAAAATTTGGTAGTGAATTTGGGATTTATAGGCTAAGTGTGGCTTTAATGTTATGTACCACTTAATGTTATGGGTATTTTAATTATTAATGTGGTTGAACAACTGTTAAATTTTTTATTTTCATACATTTTTCATACCACTTAATTTTACATTGTTTACATATAAAAAACAAAAAAGTTATTCTTGTCACATATTTGTATTAATCTTATATTAGAGAAATTAAAATTTTAAATTAAAATTTGTAAACCAAATAATGTAAATGTTGATGATTAAATTATTGTTTAAATATTAATTAACGTGATTACTATATAAAAAAAGTGAAGAGCAGATGGCAAAAAACCAATGTGGAGGAGAATTGAAACCCACGTGGAGAAGAACTGAAACGCACTTGGAGGAGAATAGTAATATTTTTGTTTGATAAAATTGGTCTTCTAATTCAGAAAGGATAATCAGTCTCCTGCCAAATTACTAGAAGATGTTAGGTACACATAGCTTTCGTGATAAAATTAGACTTTATTAACTGGTGTCGTAGCGAACTGTAATTATAATGTCTTTCTAAAAAGAAAAAGAAAAAAAAAACCTCTATCCACATCGTGTCGTGCGTCGTGATGTACCAAAGATTTGTTGCATGCATGAACGTTTGCAGAAAAATTAGTTGTGATTGAAAAATTATCTTTAATTATTGAAAATAAAATGTCATCTATACTTTTATGATACATGTACAAAATGGGGTTCATAAATCATATTCTGTAGATGCCAAAACAATGCAAACAACTAATATCTCTGTCATGACTATAGCTAGCGTGATAAACTTGTGTGACGACTACTGAAAACGACACTGCTTGAATGCAGATACCTGCCCCTCTTCTAAATTCTAGACCCCCCAAACCGAGGTACCAACCAGTCAAAAGCAATAAGCTCGACGGCCACACAAAAAACAACGGAATCCATGGAATATTCATAACCCAAAAATATAGAGGAAAAAAATGAGATGACAAATTTAACACCACCTTAATATGCAGTAAATATTGTATAGTAAAATGGTAAAAAAAATGTACGTACCGGAACAGTGAAACTTGAACCAGGTTTGCTGGCCACCACATAGCAGCTGGCTCAACCAAGTACCTTCTGAAAATCCCAGCCCAACCAAACCCTAATACCTACCAACCATTCAAACCCCATCAAACCTAATCAACAAAATATCAAAATAAACCTTCTTCAACAAATAAATCAATTAAAACTTCAAAATTTAACAAAAACCTACCTGAGTTGTTAAGATGACAAGCAAGGACACGAAGAAGGTGATGTGCTTCTTGTAAAAAACTTTAACCGCGGTAACAATATGGATGGCATAGACGGTGCCGGCGCCGGAGTTGGCGAAGATGGTAATTAGAACATGCTCCTTAACGTTGAAAGGGCCAGGGTTGAGGGTAAATTCCCAGCGGGACCCTTTGAAGAAGACACGGTTGGTGATTTTGGAAGCCATGAGCTGCCCCAGAGGCACCACTGCGATCTGGGCGGAGATTGCGGTGATGGTGAGGGGCTCAGTTCTGTACCAGAAGAACTGGTTGAGAAAGGAGAGGAGGACGCAGGAGAGAGTGCCTAGGACCCACATTCGGAACGTTAAGACTGGGAGGGATGGATCGTCTGTGGTCGGCACAGTTAGAGCTACTTGTTCGACTGGTGAATTTTCTTCATCTGTTGATTGGAAAGATGATGATTGGCCATGGAAGTCGCCATGTTTTTTATCTTCCTCAGGAACTGCAAATATTTCCAGAAACCAAAAAAAGTAAAATTAGGAAAAAAACAAAAAGAGAAAAAGAGAAAAATGTAAAATAAATGAAGGGGGCTTACTGAGAGGGGATGTGATTTCATGAGACGATGCTTCTTCCATGGATTCTCTGCTGCTTTCTGTTATTCTGTGTTTTTTATTCCTAAGTATAATTAAATGGATTTTGGATATATATTTTTCCGTGTATGATTGTTTTGTAGCGAGGAATTGAATTATCTAGAGGACTGAGAATATTAAGAGGGAGAGAGGGTAGGCAGGATAGTCAAAATCTAAGAAGTTTAATTTCATAGGTGGTAAATGGTAACTAATTTTAGGAGATTTTATAATAAATCTAGTTGCATGGCGCCATCAAAACTAATTAGGAAAATTAGCTAGTAAGCGCAACTCCAGCATGTGAAACTTCCCTCAGGCAATGCACTATGCTATCCATCTGGTGAACCATAATTGCCCTTAATAAACAGTAATCGCCTTTTGCATCTCCACTGTTGCACTTCAATAGCCCTGGCAATGGACAATAAAATATTAGTATTTTTTTATTTATAAAATAATACAAAATAATTTTAATTTTAATTTCGGATAAGATTTTTAATCGTTCTTGTTGCGTCGCGTGTCATTATCCGAAGTATTATTAAATAATACAAAATAATTTTATTTGTAATTTCGGATAAGATTTTTAATCGTTCTCATTGCGCCACTTGTCATAAAATCCAAAAAGACAATTATTGGGGATGGATTTCTGATAAGATTTTTAATCGTACTTGTTGTGCCACGTGTCATTATCCGAAAATACAATTATTGATGATGGATTTCTGATAATATTATTAACCAATCACGTCGTGCCACGTGTAATAATCTGTTTACAATCTTTGAGGATAGATTTCCATCAGATTTTTAACGAATGACGGCATGTCACATGTCATTATTCGAAAACACAATTATTTGTGATGGATTTTTGATAAGATTATTAACCAATCACATCGTGCCACGTGTCATAATCTGTTTATAATATTTGAGGATAGATTTCCATCAGATTTTTAACGAATGACGGCATGCCACATGCATTATCTACAACCTAATCCTTTCTGAATCCTCCATATAATCTACCATCCATCCTCATAAATCTCACACCAATTTTCTCAAGATCTCTATCATTATTCATAGTTTCTGCTTCCTTCATCACAAAAATCTCTATCATTATTCATAGTTTTTGCTTCTTTCTTACAATGTTTTCTTCTTCCTCAAGGATGATGTAGGAACTCAATCAGGAAGAGGAAGAATTGTTTAACCAATCAGAAGGAATGTTCAATCTTCAGGTGGCAAAAAATGAGAGGGAAGAGGATGAGGAGCATAGAAGGAGAGATGACGAAGCAAGAATGGGTAGAGCCTCACATTCCTGTCGAGTCATCTAAGCTATGGCTTAGATTTGCAGGCCCAGCCGTTCCGGAAACCTTGATAGAAGCAGGCAATGACGAGGTACGAAACTTTTGGACGATTATTTTGTCCGTAATAGTGCATTCCCTGATACGTACTTTAGACGTCGTTTTAGAATGGAACGACATTTGTTCAACAAAATTAGGATTGCTGTTTGCAACCATGATTCTTACTTTGTGCAAAAGAATGATGCTTTTGGTGCTATGGGTCTCCTTCCTCAGCAAAAAATTACTGCTGCCTTGCGGATGCTTGGATATAGAGCATCTGCAGACCAAGTGGATGAGATAATGAGGATGGGGAAATCAACCAATCTTGAGTCCCTGATGAGGTTTTACGGAGCAATCGAATCTATCTACACCACAGAGTACCTCCGGAAACCTACAAACATGGACTTGCAAAGGCTTCTGAAGAAGGCCAAGATGCGTGGTTTTCCTGGGATGATTGGAAGCATTGATTGTATGCACTGGACGTGGAAAAATTGTCCAAGTGCATGGCAAGGCGCTTATGGGGACAGAAAATGAGCAAAATGTATCATTTTGGAGACAGTGGCATCTTTTGATACATGGATTTGGCACGTCTTTTTCAGGGTTTTGGGAGCTCAAAATGACCTCAAGGTCCTTGCCCAATCTCTAGTGTTCAACGATGTCCTGCAAGGAAAGGCACCAAAAGTCACGTATGAGGTCAGCGGATGTATGTACGACGGGCCATACTACCTAGCTAACGGCATTTACCAAAGGTGGTCAACATTTGTCAAAACAGTGCCACGTCTGCGAAGTGCAAAGGAAAAATAGTTTGCAAGCTATCAAGATGGGTGTAGGAAGGATGTGGAGCGTTGTTTTGGTATCCTCCAAGCTCGCTGGGCGATCGTCAAGGGTGCTGCCAGATTGTTTGATGTAGAGTCGATTCGATACATCATGATGATGTGCATCATTCTTCACAACATGATTGTGGAAGATGAGTACGATTATGAAGCCATTGATTAATATGAGCCAGACACGATGAACAATTCAAGAACACGTATATATTGTGCTCATGACGTCACTGATGAGCCCGTGCAACATGAGTCATTTGAAAGGGATGGACGTTACAATGAAGGGGTCATTCAACAATATACTGCATTTCAAAGACCAGACATGCATAATGCCTGGCAAAATGACTTGATAGAGCACCAGTGGGTATTGAAACAAGCTGAAGATAATTAAGTTCATTTAGTGTGTTTTTTATTATTTGGTATGTTTATGTAATTTTATTCGGTGTGTTTTATTATTTGGTATGTTTATGTAATTTTTTTAGTTTAGCTTTAGTGAGTTTTATATTATTTGGTATGCTTATGTAATTTTATTTGGTGTGTTTTTGTCATTTGAATAAATATTCTCTTAGTATAAATAACTTACCAAATTCATTTGAATAAATATTCAATAAATTGGAAACAACATAAAGTATTATATTCAATAAATAATAAATTACAACCCAAAGTGATTGGAAAATTATGGGCTCCGATTACAAAAACTACTCTATTCATCATCACTTAACCAATTTGTGGTGCTAGGATGATCTTCTCTTGTGGTGCTAGGACAATCTTGTCATGTTCTCGCTTCTCTTGCACGTCTCCTTCGTACCACGTCCACTTTCTCTGACTTCCAAAAAAATTTAGAATTTGGAAACTTCCCTTCTAAAGGTGTGTTCATAATCTCACGATCTCGTTGAGCCTGTCTTTCTTCTCTAACGTGTTCCCTTTCTTGCCTAAGCAGCTCTCTTTCTCTCTCATTAGCCTGAAATTCTCTCTCAATAGCTGCAGCTTTTGCGTCCTCTCTAGCCTTATCAGCCTTATCAGCCTCATATTTCGCCATTTCTCTCGCCAAAGTCAATTCACCTTGGCGAGCAAGTTATTCCATGTACTTTGCATAATCATTCTTGGAAGCACTCCTTTTTCTCTTTGAAGCCTTCTTACCTTGAGGCCTAATTGGATAACGGGTCGAACTCGACGCTTGTTCAGGGAGGGGCGTTTCAGGCACTTCTTCTGCATCATTTTCATGAACATGCGAGCCATGATCAGGTGTAGAGTGTAGAGGGGTGCTGTTCATGAAAACTTCTGGACCAACAGACACAACTCTAAATTTAGGACAATCTTTGACAATATTCCAACATTCCCACCGGTTGAAGGATTTATTTTTGCTTTTGATTTTGGCATCGTACCAAGCTTGTGCTTGAAGTTCCTACACAATGCGGGAGAAGAAATAATTATAGTGAAAATTGGTAACAAATAAATAATACAAACAAATAATTATAATGTAAGTAGGTAACAAATAAATAACACAAACAAATAATTATAATGTAAATTTGGGTATAGTACAAACAAACAAATAATATATTGTTACTTGATCTGAGTAATTTTCCCCACTTCGAATATTAGTACTAGCTTGTGCCAAGGCGTCTCTCCACGTGCTAAATGATTGGCTAAGTAATTTCCAACGACTGGACATCGATTCTTTGGTTCTTTTCCCACCAATTTTCTCAAGATAATTGGTATGAATAAGACTCCACATTTCTCGCAACTGCATCTCATTACCTATAAGCGAACTATGAGTAACTTTAACCCAGCTAGTACACAACGCAACATCTTCAAGAAGAGACCAATTCGTACCTACATCAGTAATCATTTTTTTGAAAGAAAATGGATTGAAACTTTGAGAGAAAGAAAGGAATGTGATTGAAAGTAGTTGAGAAAATATGAAATTGTGGCATAAGGTAGATGATAATAAGAAGGTATTTATAGAAAAGTAAAAACAATTTTTTTTTAAAAAAATTTCAAATTTTTTTTCGAATTTTTTACAATTTTTTTTAAATTTTTATTCAACAAATTAATCTCTGCCATTGGATATAAAAAAAATTTGAATTCCAACACTCCAGATTGTGCCACGTGTCACAACGGTAACTTTTCTTACTTTTAAAACTATTTTTTCTTTTATTTTTTTATTTATAAAGCAGATTAATATCAACCGTCGATCTCAGATCGAACGGTTGATATTAAATAAGATTTTTTTTAATTTTTTTTACCATTGAGATCGAACAGTCCAAGTTAAAGAGCCATTGAGATCGAACGGACCGTGGGAAGCCACATGGCTTCTAATGGTAACATTTCAGTCTGAAAAGTGGGCTGACTTTTCTGAAAATATGTCAGGCGACGCACCCCCACGTGCGAGTAGGGTGCACGCGCTTGACAGAAAAAAATAAAAAAAGGGCCTGACACCAGGCTGACGTCAGCCCTGGCGTCACATCCATTTGGGCTCTCAGGCTGGCAATTCTTCACAGGCCCCGAGCTTAGGCCTCCACCTCCACTCGGGCTCCTTCATGCTGGAGCGAATCCACAGGGCCTCGGGCCCTTTTCTCTGGCCTGTCCCCCGAGCAATCCACCACGGTGGAGTTGCTCTAAGTAAACATGTGAGCTGCTCACTATCATACTGCAGTTCGGAAACATGTACGTAAAGGTCTTTCAAGCACTAAAAGTGGCTTGGGAAAGTAAAAAGGCAATTGCAAAGAAGCCCCTAAATTTTGCAATCTAATATTTATAGATAATAAGGCTATATATATATATTTTTTTTTTTTTGAACAAACGATATTATCTATACTAAAAAGAAGGGGGTGAGATTAGCCTTACAATAGACTAGTAATAATGTGGTTCAAATTCACTTTTGACGAGAATCGAACCTAAAACCTCTCACTTACAAATGAAGAGGAATACCATTAGACCGTAGTACTAAGTGACAGTCCTATTAGATCGTAGTACTAAGTGGCAGTCCTATTAGATTAAGAATGTGATTGCGTAAATCCT